ACAGAAGCAACACCATGCATGTTTGCCAGCTTCTCATAATTTTTGCAGGTTTTTGCAACTTGCTTCTTTGGAGTTAGGACACTGGGTTGTAGGAACCTTTGCTCTGAGTGGCACAGCTGCTGTCATAGCTGGTGGCATTCAGCAAAGCCGCTAGGATGTGTGGAATCAACTTTCATTGCCAGAGAGCTCCTATGTCCTGGGGAGATCACCTCAGTCAGGGAGGGACTATAAAAGCAAGGGGTCAAAGCAGGGCTGGAGAGGAGAACTGAGGATATACTTAGACAAAGAGAAGGAATAAAGAGGGGCACAGCTATCACAGGCATCTCCAGAAGTGAGGCAGGCTGGAACAAAACTGGAAAAGGAAGCCCCTGGAGAACATTACCGGGGAACTAAAGAGGTTGGTACGCTGTAGGACGCTGCGTAAAACTGAAAGGAAAGGAAAAGCTTTGAGCCTCACAGGCAGGCTTACCTGTAACCTAAAAGACTCTGCTTTCTGAGTGGTTCTGCTAGTGTCTTCTGTCCTCCCTCTTTCCTCTCCTTCTTACTCCACTGTGGTTGTCTGCATTACCTTGATGCTGGCCTGAGGAGGTTGTATATTCAACACATACATTCTGGCAAAAGCTTTATTCATTTATTTATTTATTTATTTATTTATCTATCTATCTATCTATCTTAAAAGCAGGTCACATATTTAATGTTTTGGTAACTAACGGTGCATTGATTTTAATTATTTATTTATTTTCAGTAAGCTAACATTGGCTTACACGTGTCATACTCGTGGAGGTTTTGAACTACTTGTTCTCTGGTGTCACAGTTTTGACTTCAGAGGGACCACTCGTGTCTGAGATGCAGGAACTTATCAGTAATAATACATAAGTCTAAATATTTATCTATGCTAACATTCATTTATTTAGATAGCCAAATCATAGTGTGGAGAGAGACGAGAGAGAGAGAGAGAATATAAATACACGTTGACACTTTTTAAGTGACATTTCTTGAGGGCATATCTGTCATCATTCTGTAAAGCAGCAAAAATGCATGCCTAACCCACGATTCTACATCTGTATTATTTCCATTGTTAGTTCATTTTCTTTATATATCATTTCAGCTTTGCTGCACTATCAGCAGCTTAGCTGGCTGATAAATACAGACACATTTTGTTTATGCTGCTCATCCTAAAAAAAAGGAATAAGCACTTTACTTCATATGAACAGGTATGTCCCATACTACTGTGTTTTGTTTGTTTGTTTGTTTTGGAAGGTAACACTACAGAAATGTCATACTTCCAAGAGTACAAGGTACAACCCTGTGAAATACACCTGAGATTAATTATATCAGCCAAAGAACAAGAGGCTTTCGTCACTTTCTTGGAAGCCTCTAGAACCAATTGCCACCTCATGTTAACTGAACGGGGCTTTCAAAAAGAAGAATCTATCTTTATTTGCATGCATATCTCAATACAAAATACATATTTCTTTGAAGTTCTTCTTCAAAGCATCTTCAAAGGTGGGCCTCTAGTTTGCAAGGAGATATATATGTAAATAAAATCAGATTCGATTAACTTTTTAATTTGTTTCTTTAACATTAAAATTGTTCCTAATAAAACATTTACCCTTGGATTGCTTAAGTCAACCAGTATATGCATACACTACCATTGAAACGTTTGCTGGTGTTGTCAGAAAAAAAAAAAAAAAAAGAAAAAAAAAGAAAAAAAAAGCCTTATAAAGGAAGAAAAAACATTTTCCAAACTGTGACTCATTACCACAATACAAAATTATGCAAAAGCTCAGCTAAATGGAGACAATCCAAAACATATATATATATATATATATATATTTTTTTTCCCCTCCTGGTGAGTGTATGATCTCATTATTTGATTCCAGAAAACAGTGTTATCTGCAATAGGATTTGTAGTATCAAATCATGACCACACTACCTTTGATTCTTTGCTCTTAACTTACTATTATCTTTCATAAGAAATTAATTAGTCATTATAAAATTACTTTCACTATGAAAACATACAATAATAAATAAAGGTCTGATGTTTTCCTGATTACTCACCCCTGTAGGCTCCAATAAATCAGATATAGAAGTGAGTAACAGACATTTTAATAATCATGTTTTAATATCAGGTAGTGTGCAGTGATAACAAATGTACTTGGAGCAAAACAATACCTGCATGCTAAAATTTATTGTAGGTTTTTCCTGGGGTGTCCTAGGGAAATCATACACTGGGCATATTCTGGTTTTATAAGAATAACTACGTATGTAGTTGATCCCTCATACTGAGAGATGAAATTGCAGCAGGATTGATAGTGGAATCTAAGTGCTTTCCAAATATTAAAGTAATTTTATTTTAAAAAATGTTTCAATTTGTCATGGAAAGAATTTCCCTTTATTTGAAACAAACCGACAAACAAAATAAAATGTTCTATTTCAACTGCTTTGGAGAAGGAAGAATTCCTAGTCACCTTGCATCCTCATGGTCAAGCCTCTTTGCTTCATTCTGCACACACAGAACTCCAATAATCACGGGAAAAAAAGCCCTCTCTATCCAAACTGCAAGGAGGGTACATTTACTTGCTTACACAGTGTGTGAGAAATGAGATAGATGAACACCAGCTTTTCCGAAGTTACTTAATAGAAGCTTAAAAGAAACAATATTTATTGTATAGAAATCTCCCAAATAACTGCAAAAATGTCTCTGCAAATCTTGCTTTCTTTTGTAGGCCTCATATATATGTACATATATGCATATGAGTGGATGAGGATTCTACTCGTGCAGCTCTGGGCATGAGAGTTTGTGACTGGCTGAGAGCTTACATGAATGTTGCCAGCTCTTATTTACCTGGGTATCAGAAAACTTTTGTATTAAGAAATCAAAATGATAATAAACGACTCTTTCTGTTCTTCTACCTTTCCCATAAGTCTTTCACCACCACATTTTTGTTTAATGTATCTCCAGTGTTGCGGTCTTTTTTTTCTTTCCTTTTTCTTTTCCTCTTTCCTTTTCTTTTCTTCTTTCTTTATTTTTTCTTTCATTTTTTTCCCTCTCTTTAACATTTTTCTTTTTCATTTCTCTTTCACATTTTACTTTTCCTTTCTCTTTTCTCTTTTTTCTTTCACTTTTTTCCTCTCTTTCACTTTTTACTTCTCCTTCCTTTTTCTTTCACTTTTTTCCTTTCTCTTTCATGTTTTACTTTTCTTTCACTTTTTTCCTTTCCTCTTTCACTTTTTACTTTTCCTTTCTCTTTTTCTTTACTTTTTCTTTCACCTTTTTCCTTTCTCTTTTATTTTTTACTTTTCCTTTCTCTTTTTTCTTTCACTTTTCCTTTTTTCTTTTCTCTTTCACATTTTACTTTTCCTTTCTCTTTTTCTTTACTTTTTCTTTCACCTTTTTCCTTTCTCTTTTATTTTTACTTTTCCTTTCATCTTTTTTCTTTCACCTTTTCCTTTTTTCTTTTCTCTTTCACATTTTACTTTTCCTTTCTCTTTCTCTCTTTTACTTTTCTTTTCTCTTTTAAATTTTTCTTTCTCTTTCACATTTTTATTTTCCTTTCTTTTTTTCTCTTTCATTTTTTCTTTCTCTTTTCTCTCTCTCTCTCTTTTTTTTTTTTCTCATTTACTTTCCCCTTTCCTTTCTATTTCTTCCTTTCTTCTCACTTATGCTTTTTTTTTTTTTTTTTTTTTTTTTTTTTCCCTACAAGACATATAGCTTTAGTGTCAAACCCCAGAGACTATGTTCCCATATGTGAACTTTTAGTCTATTGGTGATGGTCTCTGGCACAGTTCTCCTGCAAGGAAATTGTTCAAAATATACCAGAACCGATTGAGCACCTCAGACCCCAGCTGTATTTTCCTACCCAGAAATTACTTCCACTGCAGCTTAATGCCAGAGAGCATTTAAACACTGTCCTTCATCTGAGTGTAATTGCAAATGCAATCTCCCTCTGGCAGCACCACTTTACAGGCTCAAAGTGGCCACTTGAGTCTCACAACTGAAATACTTCATGAAAGTCCTGATGAAGCTCTGTTATGGCCCCTTGAATCTAATTCAAGATCCGGAAGAAGGCTCAGGATCAGTGTATAAATAGAGAATCATTTTTTTGGTATTAAAGAAGGTCCAGGCAGAGGCAGGGATACATCCTAACTGCGCACCATTCAGGGTAATAGCACCTTTCGTGCAATAGCTTTATATTGAGACATGCCATGCAAACAGGCATGGAAACATAGATACTACATAGAGCTGCTGCCCAGTGCTTGCACTCTGGCTGTTGCAGCTCGCATCACCCTGCTGTGTAAGCAACGTGTGAGGCTTCATCAGAAAACATACATTTATGAACAACATGTTCTTAAAAAGTTGTACGACAAAGCATGGATCTGTATTTACTTTCTTTAGTTCTCTTTATTTACTCCTTACACTTAAGGGAAAGCTCTAAAAATGCAGTCGGAAAGGTAAAAAAGTATCGGAGGGCTCAGGAGATGACGAGCGCGAGGTGCTGCTGCCCCCTGGAGCACAGAGCCCGTCACCGGCAAGGCTCTGTGCAGGGCTCCAGGCGTGCCCAGACAACCGGGCGTGCGGTCCCGTCCCTGGGTACCTGACAGCGCTCCGGAAGCCCTGCGGGCACAGCACCGCCAAGGGCACCCCGGGGGCTGCGGGACGGGCACCCCGAGCTCCTCACAGGCACCCCCCGGCACTGCAGCCGCCCATCGCCGCGCCCCCACAGGCGGGCACCCGCGCCCCAACGGCCGCCCCGCCCCCCCCATCAGCCGTTAACGGCTGCGCGCGGGAGGCGTGCGCATGCGCAGGACGGGCCGGCCCCGCCCCCGCAGCCACGTGACCCGCGCGCCGGGCCCGAGCCGGCCGCTTCCGCGGGGGCGGGGTGAGGGCCGGCGGCGCCGGGGGTCCGCGCGCACGGGGCAGGGGGCGGGGCCTGAGCCGGGGGGGGCGGGGCCTGCGGCCCTATATAAGGGGCGGCGGCGGGGGGGGTGCGGCCGTTAGCGGGGATGGGGCCGCGGCGGCGGGAGGGGTCGGGGGGTGGCCGGGGGCTGGGCTCTGCCGCCGGGTTGGGGGGGCTGAGGCGGCGCTGCTGCGGCCCGGCCCGTGCCGCTATGGCCGCTGCCGCTGCGGGAGGGGGTCTCTGAGCGCAGTTTTCTCCTGTGGAGGCGGAGGAGGCGGCCCGCGGGCGGCGAGGAGATGGAGGAGAGGAAGATCAAAAGGCGGAGCCCCAAGGCGGCCACCGCCCACCCCGCGCCGGCCGCCGGCTCCAAGAAGAGCGCCGTGCCCGCCAGCAAGAGCACGGCCTTCGGCAACCCCGCCCCGCAGCCCGCCGCGCAGAAACCCAAGCTCAAGAGGTACGGGGGGGAAGAGAGGGGGGAGGAATTTTTCATTCCACTTTCACAGCCCGATTGTCAAATGATTCTACATCTCAGATTTGCAAAGGAAGTAATGTATCATTTTATTTAACTGCTTAATTTCTCCAGAGTAATAAAAGAGAAAGCCAAACCTCCAGGAGGCGAAGCAAAAGGGGCACAGGCAGCACCGATCCAGCACTCGTTTCTCACAGATGTATCAGATGTCCAGGAAATGGAAAGGGGACTTCTCAGCCTCCTGAATGACTTCCACTCTGGCAAACTTCAAGCGTTTGGTAGATGTGTGAATTATCTGTACGGAATGGTTGCTTTTTAAACTACCTGATGGTACCATTTGCAAACAAGTGTGCTATATTGACAGACGGCTGGTTTGTCTTATGTCTCTGCTGTATGAAGTCAAGGTCAATATGACTGAACAGATCATACAATATTTCAAAATGGTAATGCTGTTGTATGTTTGACTCTAAGATGATTAAAAATCCGTTTGATTGTGGCTTCCAACCAACATGACATGCCTAAGGCAGTACCTCAGCTTTAAGATGTAAGGTACCAAACTTAAAGCCACTTTTGATACCTTCTACTAAGAAATCACTTTTTGGTACCTGATTTTACAGTGTACTAACACTTCACGTGCTGTTGGTAATGACTCTTATGGAGTGAACCGTAATTCAATGCAAACTGCATTATACTCATCATATTCTTATGTTAACAACGTATCTTCCTATTCTTACTACTTCACAGTTGATGGAGCTTTCAAAAAGCCACAAGAAACTCAACTCTTCTACTTCATTTTTTTCCTGTATTGTGTAGAAAGATGCAGATATGCTTTTGCAAATTCAGCATTAGGTCAGCATGTCACATTACCTCCACATTGATTTTATGTGAGAATACAGAAAACCTATAATATATAAAGAATCAGTTACACCTGCAAAAAATCCCAAGATTAATCAAATTTAGGAAGGTTTATTATGATCAGATTTAAAATACAGGGATTGAAACTCAAAATATAGCCAGTAAATGTATAATCTTAAAGTACATTCAGTGGTTATCAAAAAATCAGCACAACACTAACACCAGACAGAATGACTGAAATTTCAATGGTGGAAAAGGGAAGAAATCCTCTAGAAAACAACTCATAAATTTGATGCTTAAATTCATATTCTCTGATGTAAAATACTGTATCTTCATGCTTTCAGTTTCCTCTGGTTTCTTTCTCTAAAGCTGCTGTTTGTCGTTTTTAGGAAACGAGTGTTCCATAGAGCAAATGGAGCACGTGCGGAGTATGCAGGAGAAACTTGCTCGCCTCAATCTGGAGCTCTATGGGGAGCTGGAAGAACTTCCCGAAGATAAAAGAAAACTAGCCAGTGATTCCAATCTGGATAGGCTGCTATCAGATGTAAGTACAGGGAAGGCAGGAGACACGGTCCATGGATCTAGGCTTGTGATTAAAACACTGCTGGAGGGGTACTGATTCTGCACAGACTGCAGTCCATGATGAAACTTAGAGCTGAGGAAAACAGTTATATAATAAATACACACAATAAGACACGTCTTACCTGCTTCATCTTGGTTTTGAGAAATACAGTACCTTGTTCTCTCTTTTTGTAGACTGCTGCTTGTTTCGGTGAGTGACACAGTCTAGCTGTACACTGTCTGAGGGTGTAGGCATTTTTAGAGACAACCTATGTATCAGCTAAGACCATTTTCCTGTGGTACTTCCTCTTTCATTTGTGGAAGGTGACATAAGGATTTTTGATCTATGTATTCAACACTTTCAGTTTCTCCTTTCTCTAGTGTTTCCATACAAACAAATAGCTAAACTGCTACCATTTAATCTCAAGTGAACAACAGAATTTAAGATTTAATTGTTAAAATTCAAGTTGTTAAAACTTCTTGATATACAGATTTAAATTTGTTGTTAGAAAATTCAGTGCAGGTTTGCCTTGCTTTTTCTAATCAAATTACATGTCAGCTCAAACCACTAATGATTTGCTTTGTTGTTTTAATGGATTTCTTGCATTATATCAGCATAATTGTTGCCTTCAACTGAAATACTATTTCTGATACTTTCTGTGTTTATTTTGCAGTTGGAAGAACTGAATTCATCTATGTATCCTTTTCCTTAACTGTTTATTGTGCATTGTATTTACTAACTGTAAGCACGTAACCGTCTATTTGTCTGTAACTGGTTTCTTCCTAGGAGTCAAATCTGATCAATAATGTCCCTTCTTTGAAATTAGTACTGTAATACAGCACGGATTTTAGGTTCTTCTACTTCATAAACTACTAGATCTAATTACAGGATGTTTTTCATATAGTGATTTATTTAGCTAGAATTCAACACTGACAGTTTGTTGGCTGTAGATGACAAAGCCCATCAGAAGCAAGGTCTCTTCACATGCATTTTGCCAAGAAACTCTGAAACATTTATGCCTTCTATAGTATTCAGAAGTATTGTCTCATTGATAAGTGAATCCTAATTCCTTTATTTTTATCTAGAAATAGATGCAGCTCTTCAGCACTGATTTTTACTTTGGATATGGGGCTAGCCTTTTTTTTATTATTTCTCAAGTCAGGCTACAGGTGCATTGATTACTTCTGCTGACCTTAGATAACTGAACAAATGCATGCTCTTAACCCATCAAGAAGATGAAGCTAAATGGCTTGTCTTGCTCATTGTGCTTCAGTGAGCTAAGAATACAGGTGAGGAGTGTTGCATTCAGTTTTTACTGTTGTCTAAATATTTCCTTTTTTAAAAATGTGTTCACTGAGGAAGGTGGTACTCTAGTTTGAGAATTAAGATACAGAGAACACATACATCAGTGCACTATCTGTGAAAAACTCTCTAAGCCCAAGTCTCATGAACAATGTAAATAGAATGTAATAGTGGTAACATTCCTCTGCCATTCTCCCTTAATCTGTGAGCTAGCTCTGGAGTTAAGTAATGCTTCATTCTTACCGAAAGGATTAATCTGTTGGTTGAAAACTAATCTAGGTCTCAGTAGAACTGTATCTGGACTGGTGCATACCTGACCTGTCACAAGACTAAGTGTCACATAGTTTCATATAACATTATCTTGTTTATACCTCATCTATTTGTGAAAATGTTATTCCTTAATGTCTTGCTTCAGCCAAAAACTACATCTTGCAGATGCTCAAGATATTCCAAATAGTGCCACAGGCTGAAAGAACAGCTTTTTCAAGTTGGATTCTTGAAGTTTGTTTTTTTTTCTTTTTGTTCCTGCCACTGGAATCTAGAGTTGTTGGTGGTGTTTTAATCATCTTACACAATGAAGAATCAAAGTACAAATCTAAGTGTTTACTCTTGTGCATTCCTCTTTGAGTACTGCATTTGGTCAGGACTCAGTTTCTAGGGACTGAAGTAGGTTGTGATGGTGGTATGATTTATATTATTGCCTTATTTAATGGGAAAAATGGGAAAGTAAATTTATTCTGCTTGGTGTTGTTCATATTGTTGAAAATGATATGTATATAAGTTCATTTGCATTTCTCCATATTTTCTGGAGATAGTAGTAGTGCTGTTGTCTTTGTGATCAGTACACAGAAAATCTGCACACTATCCTTAGTGTGTTTTGTTTACCAGTACTGCCACTGAAATTTTAATTTATTGTCAGAAGACATTTTAAATATAAAATCTTATTTAGAGATGGTGCTTATGTTCAGCTGTGTTAAGAAATGAGTTCTTACATGGTATGAATAGTTGCAACTGACTTTTTTCATTACTGAATAATTATGAAATGTCACTAAACAGAATTAGCATGCATGACAGCTGTCCATATAACTTGATTAAGTTCTGTGAAATTCAAAAATTTGATGAAGTTATTGTTCAATAAATCCAGTATAAGTGACTCTGCAGTTGTTTGTTATAATAATCTGGCAGAAACAACACCTCTGTATTCACAGGAAGAAAATCAGTATTAGTATGAAGTAAGGCTGCTTTTAGATCCAAAATTTCTATCCCGGTCCATGAAACCACACCTTTGGTTCTAGATTTTGTTAGATGATACATTCAAATTCTGTGTTGTATATACTTATAATACAAGGAGTATCATAGAATGGCTACAGTTGAAAAGGACCTCAAAGATCATGTAGTTTCAACCCCCCTGCTCTGGACAGGGTTGTCAACCACTAGAGTGTAATCATTAACCTTCTATGTGAGAGTGAAGCTTTCATATGTCCAAAGGAGGCATGTGTCCAGTGAGTAAAGGATGTCAAATTGGAGAATGTTTTAGCTGCAAGATGCAGTTGTGGATTTCATCAGCTGCAGCTCCTTTCTCAGCTGCACATAGCACCAAGTCTGCACTGTGATGATGAAACCTGTGATGTTGTGAAACCTAAAGACAGCTTAGTAGAATAAGAATATAACACACTCCTCACAAAATGAGCTTATTGGTTAAAGAGTGGAAAAAACAACAAATTAGGTGATTAACCCTTTTTCACACTAACTTTTCGCTGTCAGCACTATTGCCTTGCCTATGCAGAGCTCAGCATGTTTATATTTTAGCCAATCAATTAATGGTATATGCTCCTTATCTTTTTTTGGATTCATACAAGAAAATCTTACAGCTAGGTCTTTGAAGGGCTGAGCATGTTCTTATGTGGTAATAAACTAATCACTTCCAAGCTTTTGAAGGAAAGGAAGATACTTACTGTAACGGATCTGTGCAGTCTTTTGCAATTATAAAATTACACAAGCAATAAGTGGCTGCAGAGAAACTCCTTTTGTTATCTTGTTTCTTGAAGAGTTGTTTATGAAGATAAAAATGTGTTAACCTTGAATATTTCCTGCCTTAAACTTACACTGACAACAAAAAGTGTTTGAAAGGAGACGCTATTTCCTGCATCACCAGTCTAGTGCTGTCTCACTCCGAGACAGCTTTAGAACCATAATGAGCCAGAAAAGGAAAACAAAAAGGAAAACAAGAAAGGCTAAAAGAAAAGCAGTGTCTCCTCCAAATCCTCTTTCCTAAGAGGAGAGCTGAATTAACTGCCTCTTTGTTCAATAATGAAGGGATAGTCTTCAGACAGATCTTTCATTTAGCAGGTAAAACCGAACTCTAAAATTAATTTTTGACCTAAATATGTAAGCGCTGTTGTGTTTTTTTTTTTTCCCCAGTACATTTATTGAAATGATAAATGTATACAAATGTTAACATACTCATGTCAGCTGTGTTTTGAAGTGCTCAGCTGTGGGAAATAACAGCAACAAATTTATCAAGCCCTACTGTCCCGATTCCATCAGCATTCTGCAGGTTGTAGTTCACAACTATGTAACACAGAGGTACAAGAACAAGGTCACCTGAAAATTAAAAAGCTTGGTTAAGAATTTAGATCATGATCTTGTTACGGATTTCATTAAATCCGTAACAAATCAGAGATTTACTGTGGAGTTTAGAGGCATGTCAGATTCTTACAAGCCACATATGAAATACTGAGACTGCTCCCTATTTACAGTGGATACTGTTAATATTTATTGTGTATACCCATTAGTCCCAAGTTGTTATATAGCAATTCAAAGGATTTCACCCTTAACACAGCATACACAGGGATTCTGAAGTATCAGTGTGTGATACTTAGCATTCTCATAAGCTCCAACTCTCAAAACATCATAAACTGTATTTTTTTTTTTTTTACTTCTACTTGCTAAAGAAATGTAAAAATGTTCCCTCAAACTCCTCACCTTCCAAAAGTGAATAGAGAATCTCTATTCGTATTTCTTGAAACACAGGTTCATTATTTTTGCACGTAGGTGTTATAGTCTTTCACACACAAAAAATAAAGGAAATTACTACATATTTCCTATGAAGTCAATAAAACACAGCTCTTGCCCAGGAGTAGCCCTGGGGGAATGCTTTGCCAATATAAAGTCTCCAGCTTCTTATGGGAACTCAAACCATCTGTCTTCACAGGGATCATCTCCCCACATACTCCCTCGTGTCCAGGCCTACAATCAAGAGAAGCACCAAATACAAACGGTGCTCTGAGGGTCCTTTTTCCAGGAGGGAGCTGCTAAGCACCTACCTATTTACCTCAGGCACGCTGGACAGGGGAGCTCACTTCTGGAAAATGAAGGTGACACCAGACCAGGCCTAGACCATCTCAACCACCCCCCCCTTCCCCAAGGAAGCCAGCAGGATTAGTTTGTTCACACTGTTTCTTCTAAATGTACTTGAGTTTTATCACTCCTCATGCTATCAAATGAGAGATTACATGTTTGATGTCACATGCATTGATCAGTTCTTTCCAGATGCAAACACGTAAGCTCTGAGTTACCATTACTAACAGAACATTTTAGCCAGCAACACTGGAAGTTCATTCCCTTTTAATTACAAGCAATTAAATTCACTGTCAGTGATTTATGGCTAATGCAATCTCACTGTTGTCTTCATCACAGCCCTCCTTACTCCCTGTGAGATAATAAGAATATTTATTATGAACAAATCCTTACCACTCTGTTGACCGCAGAAGTACCAAACAACAGCCAGTATAAAACTCTTGACAGTGGGAACAAGACATCAGAGCAGGCCCTACATAACAACTGCACTGTAAATGGAAGGAAGATGTTTGTTAGATCTGCATCAATAATGCAGAACAATCTAAATACAGTTCTAGGCTTTTGCTGGCTCATTGCAAGGAACTGCCACAGGCTTTTGGTTGTTAGAGTAAATGCAAATGGGCTGCAGCTCAGTTGGTATGTTGTAATTTGTAATTGCCAATCTAGAAGACTTTAAATCATGGATAACCAAGCCTAGTCACACCTTTGCTTCTTTGCTTTTGAGAACGTGGAAGTTGGAAGTACTGCTATAAATGAATTTGAAATTTCTCTATTACACATATTGTTACAGCATATTATATAATTTCTTTGCAATTGTGAAAAGCTTACAGGAGAAAAAATGCTGCTCCAAATCGTATCACTGCAGCATTGCTTTCTGAAGAAATAAAGGATGTTTCTGTTTTAATCTGGCACAGAAACCTATTGTATCAGTCTCTTTAAAAAGCAATGCTCTAGATGTTCAAAATACCAGAGATAAATTTCAACAAGATATAAATAGACTCTCAGAATACACTGATTCATAAGGGTAACACTATTCTGTACATAAGAAACAGTATCAAAAAGGCAGATGGCTGTGCTCACCTGATCCAGCTTTTGGTGCACAAGCACCTTGATGGAGGAGCTCAGCTTCTCTCTTCAACCTAATTACTTAGCACACCTTTGCCTTCTGATGCAGTAGTGATCATCATCTTCTGTGCCAGAAGTCCTTGCAGGAAATGCATTGTAAAATACAATGTCTTAAATTCAGTAGAAAACATGAGGATTTTATCCAAAGAGCATGGCTGAAATTTGAAGATGGCTGGAGACTTGGTTTTGAAGGCAAGGCAGTTGCTGGAAGTACCAGGCTTCTAACTACGAGGATGGCCTGCAGCAACTGCTGTCAGAAGCACATGAAACTACCCAAGCAGATCCAGTTTAAACAGAGTTATGGATTCAGAAAGGTACACACACAAACACCAGCAGTACCCTTGAAGTTGCCTGACACTTGCGAAGTTGCTAGTCTGAAATGGAAAATTTGATACTTATTCCTTACTTTTTGTCACATGCATTTTTAAGTTGTACCTTGGGAGAAGATGAAAGTGTGCTAAGTATTGCTTTACAAGGAAATTGCTAATAATTTGCACTTTATGAACATCAAAAGCATGTTTTATAACTCCCTGCTCCTCATATGGTCATAGCACTGAAAGACTGTCCCTTAGAAACCCTCTAAAATATAGTAAGCAGTGGCTCCACTGTGTAAGCTTATAAATCTACAGCCCCATGTTACTAGGTAATGATTCAGATCTTCTGCCAGAAAAGTTGAGTCCTCAATAGCAAATGAAAAACATCTTATAACAGAACATGGTATTTACTTCTGTAAAATTATTTAGCCAATTAAGTATTGGTGAGTACATGAGTACAAGAACAACCATAAAGGCTCTCTTTGGGTATGGTTTCAGAAACATTCTGCAGAAGTGCTTGTGCTGGAAAAACAAACAAAAATCCACCAACATCCTGGCAGGAGTACAGCCTTGCACATTAAAACACTATTCACTCTTCATTGCCTCTCCTAAATGAAAGAAGCCCAGCAAATAGTGGCAGGGTGTGATGGTGGAAGGCTTTAAAGGTAAGTAACTGGACACACTTAAGAAGGGAAAGGAATGGAAGTAAGTTTTTTCCTTGTCATTATTCATTTCTTTTTATGATTCAGCAAGCACTGTCTTCACATAGAATTAAAGAGATGCAAGCTTCAAAACAGCTCCCTCTCTAGACAGTATTGGGGAAATTACTTTCTATCTCTCATCAACAGGGATACATTTTTATTTTCCATTTAAGAAAAGGTGATTCAGAAAACATAAGGTTGAATTCAGAGAAACTGAGTATAGCTGAGCCCAAGAGAGCACGGAAGACAAAGAGCACACCCCATCCACATGGGACAGACATTTTACACAATGCTGAAAATTTATTTTTAGTTTTTCTTTCTTAACTTCAACATAGTTTATCCTACATAAGACATGTTTACGATTAAGAGATCCTCTAGTTCTGGAAGTAAACAACTGCGAGTAAACTGAGGGGCATGAGGTACGAAAGTATTAAGAATACCTAACTTACATTGGGTAGACTTAAAGTACTGCTTTAATAGCAGTACCTTTTGTTTTTCACCGTTGCACTTTGGAAATGATCTCTGAAGACCAAAAATAGGCAGTGGAGAGAAAAAGCAATTGAAAAGCAACTCTAAAGCAGGTGGAATGAAGAAATAGGCACATCAGTAGCAGAAGCAAATCAAATGTGAAAACGGATGCTCATCCAATCTCAAAATCCTAGGGAGAACTTTTGCAGGTGTTTAAGAAATGCATGCCCCTATTCATCATCCTAACTGGGTACACGAATTCATGTACTCATGGCCTGTATTCACACATGCAATACAGAGAGCATCTCTCTTGAACTGAACCTAATTCCTTGCCCAGAAGAGCTTACAGTCTAAGATCATAAAAAATAACACATCAAGTAGTTGGACCAAGATAAAACAAATAGAGCAGACAGGGAAGTGGAAGTAAATATTATAAGGTATTAAAGTTTGGTTACATTACTAATTGAGGTATTTTTTGAATATCACTGGCAGTGATGTTCTTAAAACATAAGTGATTTTTCAGTTAAAAGCTCTTCTGATCAGGAAAAAAATGTTGAACGTACAAAGTGATGCATTAAAAATAAGCCATAGAAACCCTTAAAATAGATTTGTTGGCAACATTCAGAAGTGTTCAATTTGCTTAAATTCTTCACTTAAAACATTATATGACTTATCATTCTGACAGATATGTAATGTTTGAATGCTAAAGGCTTTTTACCCTTAAGCTTAAGATGCAAAATTCTGATTTAGGAATCCTGCTGCTGTAAACATAGGATTAATACTTAAATATCAGTATGAAAAACATGCTACTTTTAAGGTGTATTTAACTTTAAAATAAACCGTACAGACAAGATACGGTTGGTTTAAAATCAACATCCTTTGACTACAGTGAAGTGACCTACTTTAGGCTTTTTCTTGTTTTGCATATCCCTGGTTATATCTTTTTTTTTCTTCTTCTTCAAGGCTTACACCTAATCTACTAACTGACACAACATACTTAAAACGTAAACTTCGTGCTCATTTAACTACCCATTTTTACATGCAAGTAGAAAATATCTTTTCATGCAACTGTGACTTGTTTTTCATACCAGGGAATCTTGCTTTGGATTAACATATATGTCATCTGTAACACTTCCATGACATTTGAAAAGATGTTGGAATAATTATAGTAATAAAAATTAACCACTCTGTAACCAAACCCAGAAACACTTCATTTTTACTGCAACAGCATATCCAGCAGAAAAATCTGACTTGAGCTGTCCTCTTGTAACAGAATCAAATATTAAGAGAATTTCATTTAAGCATAAAAGTGAGACAGTGAAGATAAGTATTGCTAACAGGCAATCCATTTAGTTTTAATTCTGAAAAGTACTCTCAAAGAAATCAACTGGAAATGCAGACTAAAGAACTGTACAATTCTTCCACCCAAGTCAGTACCAGCATTTACTTTTTAAAAGTTACAGCTACATTTAATTTGCTCACAGGAGGATACAAAAGGAGCATAGCCACAGATTACCAAGAGAATTTAATCACTTCTGACCAACAGCTAAAAAAAAATTGAAGAAAACGGTCAAGGGAGTACCAACTATTTCTTGTACATGCCACAAAATTACAAAAAGTTTTCTGAACACCTGTAATAATCCCCTCCCCCTATTTGAATGAGTTTCAATTCCCAGGTAAAGATGAATCAACAAAATTAAAATATTGTGCTGTTTTATTGGTGTAAAAATCACACAATTGCTAGTTCTGATTCTGCAGAGATACATCCATGCAGTTAAACATCTATGATCCCACAGCCAGAAGAAGCCATTAAATAGAATATCTGCTGTTAGTCAGCAATTAATGCAAATTTACATATGAGATCAAAAGGTGTGTATCATACAATATACAACAAATCCTAATACAGTACATCAACCTGAATAGCAGGATACACTCGGGGAACTCTGTTAATAGTGAAGCCTGTCTATATGCCAGAGAAATAAGGCCTGGAAACAAGATGACAGAAGGTACCCCAGAATTCCTAAGAAGCAAACTGTTCTTTTTTTTTTTTTTTTAGATTTATTTATTTTTTGCTGGGAATTAGAAGTTCACAGAGGTATTGACACATTACTTGACAATACATTTTGTTATAGTGAAGACTGGTGGATGTGATCTGTTATTAAAAGGTAATGTGTGAAACATGCAATTACAGGTGGTGCTTAGGAAATGTGCAATTATGTTGGGGATTTACACCCAACTCTTCACAAAAAAAGAGGACTGAAAAAGGTCTGTTGGAGAGACTACCAATTGTACCATAAGTCTTTATGTGCATGCGGCTGAATCAGGGTCATGGATGGATAAATGTAACAGCTGGCGATCTGTGGTTACATACTCTGCAATGTATGCAACAAACACAAACCCAAATCCGTTTGATATGGTGAACAGCCTGCAAGAACTCTGTCAACCTGTGTAAGTCGGTTTTATTGCAAAGGGGCAGGCTTTCTAGGATTGTGAACAACTTACAAATTGTGAAAGGCAGTTTGGGAGGTACTATTGGCTGATGACACATTATTAGATTTTCTCTTTTCTGGCACAATAAAATAAATGCCACAGCAAAAGAAGAGTTTACGTGCTTAAAGTCAACTGATAAGCAATCCTCTTCTGCACAGATGTTTCAACAGGGAAAAAAGGAAACCACTAAGAAGTTCCAGTTGGAAATTTTGGCGACAAACTTTGCAAACTCAAGTTCAACAAAAATCACGGATGCCCACAGAAAACGATGTAAGAGGCAGTGTCACATTCAAGGAAAAAGTTTTTTTTTTTCTGTACTGAAATTAAAATACTTAAATACAAAAGTGGACAAATTGACAAAAGAGAACCACAACATTTAATGTAGAATAGAGTGCACTGAGCTAGATGCATGGATCTTTAAATAGGATCTTGAAACCAATACCCCTTTCAAAATTAGTAAATTCACAGTTAACGGCAGTAGGCTTAGAGGTGAGAGAAAGGTCGAAGTTGTTCCAGTTGGACTTCCAGGGAGATTCTCTCTTCAAGAACATCCTACAAAAGAAATATTTTCTACTGACTGTCCACAGAGAATTAACATTAAGTTTCCTCATGTGACCAAAGCTGCTAAATGTCAGCTTCAGTTTTGAAGAACTAATATTCAGATCTCCTCTAAAAACATGGAGAGCTTTTCCCATAATCTGAATAGAAGGCTAGATAGTTAGTACACAAGCAAAGAATCAGTACTTTGCTCAAAAGCGTGGCTACTTAGTATTTCTCCACTTCTTTCAAGTCACCCAAAACTATGAAGTTAAAACTACCTGCAAATCTAACATTTTCAAATAAAGTATAAAATGCTTTTTTTTTTTAAAATGAGAAACTGACAATTTTCCCTCTCTTACCTGACTTATGCAGCTTTACTCTCTTTAAGACAGTAGCAAACGACAATTACACTTAATCTTTTTTTTTTTTAAACTGCCTATCTTCCATTCTAGACAGTACCACTTCATGTTTACATTAAGTTTGATTATCTTGGTAATTAAAATTAGATGTAAGGTAAGAAGGATGGCAAAAGATGTTAAGAAAAATGGTGCCATGGTGCCTACAGACAAATTCAAAAATATAACAGCTGACCTAGATAAATGGATGGCTGCAGCTCTTCTTATTGAGCTGCAAGCTTTGTATCCCATATATGTATGCATATATTTGCTTAGAAAATATTATTTTAATAAGACTAAGGTTTGCTTTTTCCTTCAGAAGAAAGCAAGCCACTTAATCTGCTTTTCTCAATACTGTTTTCAAAGTATCTGATGACCACAACAGCTACCCTAGATTATATTAACTTAAGGTTTCTGCAATTTTTGTGGAGTCAAAAGCAAATAAATGCATTGAAAAACATATTTAGTACTAACTAGTGTCCTCTGTAATTTCAAAAATTCTATCAAAACTAGGTATATTCTGTGATCTATAAAAACAACTAAATATTTTATGCTGATATCTTCTACTCCTTTCCCATCTATTAATCATTGGTTTGCAGAAATGCCAACTACTGTGCATCACTGACATCTTGCCTTCTTGTGATTTTTTGTTTTAAATAAAGATTACTATATTACCTTTAGTTGCTGCTGAAGTTCACTATTCAATCTGGCCAAAACAGTGTTGGTTTCCTTGTTACGTCTGATTGATGCCTGAATTGCCTTCTTGTCCTTCCCAACAGATCTGAAAATATATTAGTAGTATTTTAAGTCATTTCATACTTAACTGAATACTTCATTTACACTTCTAAACAATGAACAGAATACTCTTTTCAGAATTTTGAACTTGGTGTAGTGTTAATTTCCCCTCTTTTGCCTGGTTCAATTAATCTTGTTTGTGCAGAAGTCACATATACTTGGTTTCAAGGAAACAGCAAGAAGCACATTTTAGAAACTTCTCATAACTACTTTTCCAAAGTCCCAACATACAGTAGCATCACATTCATTCATCTCAAAGAGACTGATCTAATAGCCTACTTTTGTGCTAGGGACAGAAAGACTAGATTTTGGACTGTTAATAGTAACTATTACTTAAAATGAAGTAATGCATCTTAATACTTCCACCACTTGTTTCCAACATACTCGCAGAAGTTAGGGGTTCACACTCCAAAATTCAAGATCTCTACAAGGTCTCCCAGTAAGCAGGGGCTTTGAGATGATCTCATAAAATCAAAACTCCTTAAGCTGTTACATAAATCTAATTCAAACACATTGAAGTTGCTTGCAGTTCCTAGAACAGAAAGTGTGTATTGCTGTTTAAATGTAAACTTCCCAATAACAGATGTATTTATACACTTCTTGGGTTACCTAGGAATAGATGGCTGTGAAGCAAGAACAGCAGCTATGACACCTGTTTTCTGTGTATGTTCCTCAGCTTCAGGTCTTAGCTCATCTTCTGATTTTAATCTTCTACGAATAGGCTTTGGTGGTGGAGCAAGTGGGGTAGTGCCTTTACCCTGAAGGGGAAAACACAGCCTATTAATTCTCAGAAACCGCTTTTTAACTTTGATTTATGACATGCTAATTTGTGTTACATACTTCTAGAACCAGTTACTTGGCTAACTGAATTAACAATCACGTTTTCTGATGGACATATAACTGCATCTTCCTATTGTATAGATTAAAAAAAAAAAAATAAGAACTCTAGCTGACAACTGCAAATACACGAGTGCACCCTTTCCTTTCCCTCTAACAATTATGTTTTTATACCATAAAAGAGCTACCGTTACAAAGATTTTCATGAAAAACTTTGTTCTATTTCAAGCATTTGAACACTTGCAAGTATCTTAATTTTCTGCTGTCTCGAGAGTGATGCTAATCATGAACACCTTATGATGCAGTAATTCATCATATATGTGCCTATTTCAAGCAAATAATGGGTCTAATAAAATTGGGTTAAGTGCATAAAGTTGGTGTAATAAATCAAAACAAGCGTGAAATTTCATATATATCAGACAAGTGTGCTCTCCTTCCAATTTTATATTGCATACCGCACTAGTGGGGACATTAGCAGATGATTTCTCTTCGACTCTTCCATCTGCTTTGGCAACTCTAAGAGAACTTGCAGAATCAGAGGGCTTTTCGACCTAAAGGGATATTAAACTACATTTAGAAAATTAATGCTTAACAAGCACTTGATTCAGCAACAACTGGAATAAACAGAAGTATGCTGTGTTTCTTGTATAAGAACACTGTTAACGTTTCAATTAATAGTTGAAGTTGTCTTTAGAGACATAGGCTGGAATACAGTAAAAATATGTGCTTTGGAGCAAAACCATCTAAAACTATCTTGGTCACATTGTTCTGACCTGGAAGCAGCTCACAAAAAAGGCACGCAGTCAGGAAACCTCAGCTTTTTAGCTGTCCTATGTCATGCAGTAGGAAATGAGGCTCTGTATACATCTCAATCTATTGTAGAAATATCGTAAAGCTCTATTCACTTCAGCTGTTTGTCCAATGATATTGAACAAAACCGAATTACTGGGGTTTTAGAAGATGTTTAAAATACTTGATAGTTATTTCATTTACTAAGACCTACTGTCTACTTTAAAACTTACTATTTGGTACGTCATTTGGAAGGCTGGCAAGAATAAGCAGAAGAGAGGTTTTGCTTGTGCTATGTCTTAAATGTACAAATAATTATGTTTGTGCCCATATATGCTAATAATTACCAAATCTTTTGAATTACAACGAAGAATTGAGAGGAAAGCAAGTTCTTCTGCCTAGGTGTTTGGTGTTTAAAGAAGCACAGCCACCCATAATATAAGCGCTTTCTAGCAAGGGACAGGCATCACACAACTACAAAAAAAACAACAAACAACCACTGGTTCAAACAGCAAAAGTAGGTTTTAACAAAACCTCCTAAACTGTTGGTGGCATTAAACAATTGACATTTTCATTCCCACTCACCTGCAAGACTTCTGAATGTGTTTCAATTTCATCTTCTTCCTCCTTGTTTACAGCTGATGCAGCAAACACCTCAAATTGACTGAAGTCTGCAAAATTTGGCTGCTCTGGTATTTGTTGAGGTGAGGTACTGGTATGAGCTATTAGGCCTTCAGCATCTACTGGGCGATGCACATGAGGACCTGCACCCTGCAATAAAGGAACAAAAATACTTAGTAACAATGCTCTTAACAGTTACCCAATGCTTAACAGTTACTTGATGCAGACTCTTGCCAAACAACAGTTTGTGACAGAATATTAAGTATTACTTGCTTTTTCAATCAAAGATTTATGTCCTGTCAGTAGAACAAAGTGCATCTTGTCTAAAACACAAACAGACCACTCTGTGTGGTTGGGAAAACAGAAACAGCTAACGGAAAAGGAAGCTCAGTCCTGTGGATGAGACCAAAGATGCGTGGTAGGACTATCTAGACTCACTGGACAGCACATATATTTCAGTTAGACATCTTAATCTAGTTCCTATAGGGGGAAAAAAAAACATGATGATGTGATCAAACTCTGTGGAATGTCTGTCATCGTACCCTCTTTCCTTCCTGATAATTTCTGAATCAACTGGCTCACTTCAAGAAGTTTGATGAAAACAGAAAGCCAAGCAGGAAATGGATGTTACACATATTTCAATAAAGGAAAACACTGTACCACCAATTCAGACATTGCTGCCTATCAGAGAAAGCATACAGGAGAGCACTATTAAATATTTCCACTGCAAAATCAGTTTCAAACGAAATAGAAAAACAGGGTAACTACAAGGCCTTATTTCTGTTGTTTGTGGTCTTCTACATATGGCTCAAAAATAATTGCTGCTGAAAAACAACTCAAAAGAGATTCTACCTGTCCCATGTCAGATCTGCAGAACAGTTGAAGGATTCAGCTGTTTGAGACAAAAAGAATTTGTGCATAATTTTCTACCAAATCAGCTAAATGAACTGACTCAGATTGAGACTGTAAAAATGACCAAGTTTATGACAAGGGAAGTAGTGGAAACATGCCTTTTGGAGCAGACATGTTCTGTTAAAAACTGTTACTGGGTCAGGGTCATGGATGTAAACAGAAGCGTTTATTTTGCAGAACTGTAGAAGATCTCCCAATGGCTATACAGGCACAGGTAAAGAAGCGTGAAAGTATAACATTTCTCTCTTTATTACAACTCAGAGCTCCAAAGCTGTTCAGTTCTTCTTCCTCTACTTGAATTCTTTCACATAGTCCCACCAGAAGCAATTATTTATTCAGGAAAGGCGAACATTTGGCTGTAAGTTTGACCTTTCACATCATTCACACCGCAGTGGTTTCAAAAAAGATCAGCTATTACTGCTCATTTTAGAGGGAAGTTAAAATTCAGAGTTAGATAAAAATAGTACTAAATAGTACTGTCCAGTACATCAGGTTAGAGTATGACTTTTCAAAAGGGACATCACCTGCGAAGGCTGTGGTCTTGGAGGCACTGCGGGAGGATAGGCAACAACTCCAGCCTGTTGCTGTCCTGTAAGAGGAATCACATTTAGCTAAGTTTGTTACTTTTCAAATTATACGGTATCTAATTTTTTGACTGGTCAAAAAATGAAGAAATACAAACTTTGCCTACATATAAATCAGTCATTTAGAACCACTACTGTAATGTCAACTTTCAAATTTGCAAATAAAAAAAAACAAGGAATCGGAGCACGTGTCTTGTCCTCTGCTCCCGTTCAAAGTATTCAGTCATACTTTCCTGATCTGCTTTTTCTTTTACTCCCATTATATACTGTTAACATTTCCCCCTTTTTTGTGATCCCAAGCTGAAATGTACTGACAAATCGTAAGTACAATAAGAACTCTTAACAACAGTACAAAAAATGACCTTTAATCATTTCATTGAGACACTTAACACTCATCTTTAACATATCCATTACGAAAATAACTCCTCTTGAAAATTTACTGGCATAAGCTATCCACTGCACATGGATAAACTACCGAAATGTTATTTCCAGACTTCACTTCTCACATTTGTCCAAAGGGCTACAATGGCATCACTTCTATGATTCAAATTTAGTCTTAAGTTACTTGTTTAAGCAAAGCGTTGTACAGATCTCAATACAAGCTAAGAGTAGCAATATTTTCAGCTTTTTCATTCAGAAGCAGTGTTTTAAAAACTTATTCTAAATCCCTCTTCAGAGGAAAAACGAAGAAATGGTCTGCATCAGAAGTACGTGCTAAAAAATAAAATATACTAGGTATTGACCTGGGGTAACTGAAAAGGATCTGTTCATATCTAAAGATGACGATCGAGAATGAGAAGGATGAGGCCTTGGCGGGGGTGGTGGTGGCGCGGTGTTATCTGGAGACGTTCCTGAATGTGATCTGCAAAACATAAAGCTGCCTAAAATCACTTTAGAGCCACAACAAAACTAAAATTCAAAATTTATTCTAAACATTTAATTAACAAGTAAAGGTTGACAGATGAAAAAGAGCCTGATGATTACCATTGATTTTGAAGAGTGCAAAATCAGTTTTAAACTTCTACTATCCTTTGATTTCAAGATTGTTTCTCTATTTATACTTAAATCTCCATTTTCTAGATTATTCTTATATTACTACTAGTAATTTATCTTTAGGAAACCAATAGTTTCTCATAAACAACCCAAACGATGATAGTTCAGGAGTACAGAATCTTAAATATGGTAATTTCATCCAGGTGGTAGTCACTTTGATTTTCAAAGTATGTAAAATGTACTCAACATCCTAATTAAACTTAAGTTTAATGTCTTTGAAGAAGAGTATGTTTCTGTTGGATCTGCCTGCAGATATATAAGGTTTAAGGAGCATCACAGCATACAAGATTCTAGTTCTTTGCTAGAGATTTTCCCAATCTCTACACTTCGTAGCAGTCTTCAGAAATTTTAACTTATTCTTAGGTATGATCACCATCTAGTGGATGTATGTTGCAAGTTCATCAAACACGGAGTTTAGAAAGGCATAAGGAACTTGAGTGGGATACTGGGATTTATTGCATACAATATTTTTATGCAGCTTCCATTTAAAAACAGTTTGCTTAAACTTCCTTGCTCCATCTTGAGCAAGACAGATTTATTAAATCCCTCATATGATACAGCTACAATTTTATTCAACTCACATGTAAGCGATAAAATCTTTTATGAATGACTGACTTCTGAAACATTTTTCTCTAAGTGAGATAGAACTAGGAGAGGAAACAGGTACTGGAGGTTCCCATAGGTTTCATACAAAACTTGAAATTCCTGATCATATTAAGTCAGGCAGAAAATCAAGTTATCTCAATAGAAAAAAATGCTTTCTTAACGTACTCTCCAGAAGGATACTTCTGTGAATTTTCTGTGAATTGTGTAAACTTCCAGACAATGAAGTCTGAAGAAAATGAAGAATTAAGGGCACAAGTAGGATAAAAAGAAGGGAGAGAGGTTTTCAAACACTCCTGACACACAGTGTCACGTAAGTATCATTATCGGACACAGCCTTTGTTTTACTTTTTGAAAATACAAAAAGTACTCTACACTTAGGGTAGCATTAGGGACAATGTCATCTTTATAGATAAAGTTGCAATTGGTATAAAAGTATAAATGGAAGGAAGTAGAACTGGGAGTGGACATGGCCAGATTTGTCAGTTCTAGATCGAAAATACCCGTGCCAGAAAGTGGCAGCTCATCAGAAAGCTCCACTCATCTACACAAATCAGCAAGAGAACCCAATCCAAAATCAGAGATGAAAAGAACGTGGAAAACAAACAACAAGCCATCATCTTGATAGTGTAAAAATATACAAAAGCAGGATAGAGTCCATTTTCCCCATTAAGTAACAATGGGGTAGAAAAGTTTTCAAGCTGCTGTACTGAAAGGTAACTGCAAATCTTTCTTTGGTACTGAAGTCACTCCAATTATTTTTGTTTTGAAACTCACCTCTGAAATGGATTGTATGGTGTTTAATGGCATAGCTGGTTTTTATCCTATTCAGGCACAGATTTAATGGGGACAATTAGCACCAGCTGGTACAGCACATTCTCTTATGACATACAATGCAGTTGCTGGTTATATGATTGCATAACTTCACCCCGCCCCTTAATTTGTGTTGGGCCTGTACCTGGCTTTCATTTTATAGAAGCCCATTATCAAAACAGATTAAGTTACTGCCAGGATTTAAAAAAACAAACAAACAAACAAACCTCTTGCAGTACATAATCACAAGGTTCTTCTCCATTAATGCCTAATGGATATCTTTAAAGATACCAAAAATTGGTTTCAAGCAACATTATGATCACCTGTGTTTACATTCCCTTGTATTTAAGGAGAAAGTATTTTCAAGATTTCAGACTGCACCTGGCTAATCCCAAACAATTCTTTAGATTGCACCTTTTTTTTTTTTTTTTTAAATTTGTGCTTTCCACATTAACACGAACAGCATACATTTTAATATGTTAAAATACACACTGCTTCCACATTTCTGACTACTGAAGTAATAGTTTATCTGGCTGCCACTTCATAAGCAAGCTGTCAAAAAAAACAACACAGAAGCTCAGAACAGGCTTCTTTAATCAATTCTTATTTTTTTAGTCGTTACTCTACTGACCGTTGCCGCGTTACACTGCTTCCAATTTGCTCTGGATCTGAAGTATAGGAGTCCGAACTGCTGTAACCATCTGCTGGTAAAAGGAAGTACAAAGTTTCATATTCATTTTGCACAATCAATGTATGCCAACAGATACAGATAATAAATTGTATTTAAAATATTAAATGTAAATTTCCCGAGCATAGCTCTAAAACAACTTGACATTCCAACACTATAACAATTTAGCCAACAGAAGTAAAGGACACCCAGAAAAATGAACAAGTAGAACATGAGATTGTAAAAGCATCGAAAGTCTGTCACTGATCTTAGAAGTCAGGCAAAGCAAAAGATATGTACAGTACACAGAAAAACTATATAGTTTTGTTACTACTGTAACTTCTGTACCTTCAAGGCTAGTAGTCAGCTCTGTTTTGGACTAAATATCTATATTATATATAGATATATTTATATACATACATATATATATATTTATTTTTAACTGTTCATCTTTTGGTTAAGCCTACCTATAAAAATGAAAGATTCTATTACAGTATTGTTCAGACAGTTTTCTTAAGCTCACCCTTAGCCTTAAAAGCTGTCTAAAGCCAACTATTCTCATCAGAGATTAGTCTCACCAAAATCACAAAATTGGCATAGAATGAATGTTGACAGAAAAATGGCTGTCAAAGATTAATTTGGGATGATTCCAGAACATCTGGTGAAGCACAATGTAGGGTGGGTAAACAACAGGAAAAAATGTGACTCACACAATCAGCTACCAGTAAAGAGAAAATTCTACATAAGACTATAATAATTTTTCTGGATTACTTAGTCTCAAACAATTACTTTAACGTCTGAGGACAATGAAGTTTTCAAAAGTGTCAAGATGTATGGAATGAACCCAGACATGAGAATCCTGCACAGCTAACTTTCCTATTCATTAAGGCACCTTCTTACCTGTTCCTTTTTTTCTTGAAATTGGAGGTACACTGATCTAGTGAAATTGGCTTGACACCTTCACCATGCACAGCAAATTGAATAATACCTTATTTCACCTTAATTTCATATTAGAAGTTATTTTGAATGAGGTCTAAAGAAAATTAAAAAAAAAAAAACCTAGATACACAGTCTTAAAAAAAACAGAATTTGTGGCTATGTGATGGTATTTAAGTTTCCAAGGATCAACTGAGAAAATTAAGCTTAAAGCAAAAGTCATGGAGACAGTTCATGGAGAAAGTGATCTTTCTCCAGACATCTCTACTAGTGTATATATTTTTTGAGCCATTCACGTAATATAACCTACTAAAATATGTGTAATCAATCCCACTTCTAAGGAGGGAAGAGCAAGACCTTCTGGACCAAAAAGTTTTACACCATTTCAATATGAAACTACTGGGTTTCCACTTCTAGTATAAGGAGTATTTTTGAAGTGATTTCAAAGCTATTTGGAGTAAAAAAAAATTAATAGTTACATAATGCAAAGGATTAGTCACTCAGCAAATGTAATCTTCACATATTGGCTAGTCCTAACTCATGTACCTGAACACAATCTTAAATAGAAGGGAATCCTTTGTGAGCATGACCAGTTACTTAAGTATGATAATGAGGTAAAGTTCCTATCAGGAATGATACAGGGACTTCTGCAGTGTTATTTTTCTCAAGAGTGGTTTCTGCTCTTCCATGCTAGTAGTGCAAGTTAGTCTCCAGCTTTGCTGGTATTTCATTATGAAGGGAGTTAATTTAGACTATCTTTCCCTTCTGACTGCAGTATTCCATTATCTTGTTTACGTAATTTAACAGGATTTTAAAATAACATTCACAAACTTGTCCTTTATGACATACTGAAGTAGTATGTTGCTTTAAAGTTAAAACAAACTGTGAAAACAGTAATTATTTTTGCTGCTTTTATTTTTACTTGCATAGCAACAGTTTCAACACTGTGGGTGCCAGGCAATCAGATGAATTAGTTTCTCCAGTTATCACTAAGCTTTTTTATTCTCTTCTACTTTGTTCCAAAACACTTCACTTGCAAAGAAAAATAACAGTGCAGCGTCTATGCCTAATGACTTTTCTTATATCATGCAATAGAGAAGCTTTTCCTTGCTTCCTGGATTAAGTTTGAGGTGCTCTTTACAAACTAATCACTTCTACGCTAAATTACTCTTGATGCAATAACTGAAAAATTGAGACAAAATAGAACTCTCTCAATACCAAGCTGATGCTCATAAATCTTCATCGATTTCTCAACTTCAAATACTATTTTAATATCTTGATCCTCGAACAGCGGAATAAGTGAAGTAAAACAACTAATGTTCATTTAAATTTTGATCAATAAACCACTGAAAAATCTGTACTCTTCTGTACAATGCTGGAAAACAAATGTAAACCTAGCAACAGAATATTCTTATTTAAGAATATCCATTTGTAAGAAAACATTTCCAAAACAGTGATATTAAAAAAAAAAAACCAAACAAAAATACATTCTACAAAATAAAATTGAAACTTATTTTTAAATGGATTCTGGCACAGATAAACACCAATAAGCAAATAAAGCAAACACTGAAAAATGAGATCAGTCCAGTAACTGAAGGAAATACATTACAGACTTTGTCACTGACTTAGCACAGAAGTTAGTCAGATAGTATTAATGCATGACTCCAGAGAACCTTGAAAAAATTAACTATCAGGACAGTAAATCTGCAAAAGAAAATCTTAGGATTGACAAAAAAGTATCAGATTTTCAATACAAAGAAGTATCAGAAATTCAGTTTCTAGGGGTAGCTTATGTTAAACAATTTCTTCAGGATTCACCCAAATGGTGTTACCCACAACCACGCTTACAAAACTGACAATAGCCATTTCTTTCAGTAAAAGAATGGGCATCCCTTAACTCAGTTTGAGAAACTACAGAGTGGCCTTTGTTACGCCAAAACCAGGTTTGTTGTATTTCAGTCTTCCTCTCAGGGAAGAATCCTTCCTGGTATAACAAAAATTACAGAAGTAATTGTACAATTACAAAGGTTAAACTATACTCAGGTAATGGAGTATGAAAGGAGTCTCAGAACTTAGATCCTGCATATCATAGTAACTTTTCTACTGCAAGACTGTATTTGCTTATTCTTTCTTTTGCATCAGAGGGCTTCCTACTGAAAATGGAACTGTGCTTTGAAAGAACACAGGCCCAAGAAATTACCTTGGAAGAGAAGGGTGTCATTGGAACAGTTCATGAAAAAAAAGAAAAAGTAAACAGAGCAATTCAGAAGGTGCATTTTTGCCATTTATATTACAACTGAAATACTTCTGCCTTAATGTGGCACAGTGAAGAATTTAAAGTAATGAGTTCTTCAAACTTTATTTTTACTGAAACATGTTCCCAGCTAAAAGAGAACAGGAAAACAATCTCCAAAACAAGTCTGTTTTGAAGCTCTAGATCTCATTCAGGCTACTTGTAATCTGGGACCTCTATGACTAATGAAACCAAAATAATGCCAAACTTTTTGGACACAGGAGATGCTGAAAATCAAGGAGGCTATTATAAGCAAATAAACACTTGAAAAGCTATACCTAAAAAACAGTATCTAAAATTTTGTTTAGTATCTAAAACAGGTAACTGTCTGAAAATTTTATTGTCAAGAGGTTTTCACTCATCAAAAAAAGTTATACAGTTCTGAGGAAATCAGAATTAAATGATACTTAGTCAATTCCACTTTCCATACATTTCAATTTCTCATCCTAAAATTAAAATAGAAAACAAAGACAAAGAATTGATAAAAATGAACATTTTTGAACACAAATGCAGGAAATTATCTACAGTGACATTAGCAGAACCTTCTTAACACTATTTCTAATACATCATATCAGAAACATCTCTATTCTCAGGATATGTTTATCTCATTTTAGAGCATTTCATCCACTGAATATATCTACATTTTGCTTAACATAAAAACAAGATCAGAAGGTATTTGATACTTACTAACTGTATTTCCAGGTGTATATTTTACAGATGAACTCATTTTGTTTTCTTCTGGGAGATCAGGTGGTTTCACAAGTAGTGGGCTAGTAGGGTTAGTATGATCTGGACAGAAAAAAATAATCAGTCTAAATAAACAGATATAATCAAACTAGCTTTTACTTATGAGGTTAAAGCTTCACAGTAGCTTTCTGTGCCCTTATCTGAAGTGCTATACTGAAGACTAAAACTGTTATACTTTAAAATAATTGAGACATCAGAAGCGTTAACTTTGAAATTTACACTTTGTGTGCATTTCTCAGGATTGAGAGTTGTGAATCTCGATCTATTTACAAGGCTACGGAAATATTAAAAGAAGCATGTTGAGAACAGTTCTCTATTCTCATATGCTGAATGCTGAACATTACTTCAGGAAATACTGACATTAGCATGTGTCTATAAATTGAGACTGTGGACTCCATTGTTCAGGGAAAATTATCAGACAACCTTGTTTATTCTTGACCAGAGTATAAAGTAGGTTTACAGATAACTTTCAAATGCTATTAGGTTTCAAAAGAATAAACAGTATTTTTGACCACAGCAGTGTAAGTTGACTCTTCAAAGCTCAATTTCCTGTTAAATACACGATTTATCAAAGCAGGCTATGTTCCCCATCTTCACAGCCACCTCCAGAGTTTAGTAAGGAAACCTATACATTCTTGAGGCCCAAATCAAACATATACCATAATGCTTCTTTATTACTCCAAGCAATAAGTCTTCTACAGATGGTGAAATCCTCACTGTAGCAAATGGCTAATTCAAACTCTGCATCTATCTGAACAATACTCAAACTCCTAACTCAGAAATTTCATGAATTGTTATGCTGGTTACAACTCAAGATATTTTCAAGTAGAAAAAAATAAGTCAGGATATTTAAGGAAGCAAACTCAACTCTAAGTGTACAACACTTTCCTGATTAGCAAGGGAAAACATCATACCACTTCCAGTTCTTTTGAGCTCCATTTCCTGCATGTGGATTTTGCTTGGAGTCATTCTTATGGGAACTGGGTGCACAATTGCAGTATCCTGTGGAGTAGATGGAGTAAGTGGTGTTAACCTAGTTTTACATTGTTCCCTTAAGAGTCCCTGACACCATGTGAGAAGTCCATTTCTAAACAAAAATCCCGAAGTCTAATTTTACACAGTTCTAGCGAATTTAACATACCTATAAAACCAAAGCTGTATGAGCTGAAGTTCCTCTAACCATTTATAAAGTGTAACCTAACATTCTACTTAAAGCACATTCAAAATGTTTTGCTAGATAACCATGACTATTGTAAATAGGACCCCAATTTTGACAGCTTTCCATAATTTTTGGCATACTGAAGTCTGTTCATCAAGTGCATCTTCAAAAAAAAACCTTGAAAACCCTACTCCTAAGCTTTTTTTATGATGCCTCAGAAAATTACCTCCCTTTAAAATGGTATGACTAATTCCCAGTAAAATAGGTACTTTGTAGTATTTTAAGACAAATAGTTTCCGTCTTCTTTAAAGTGGTAAAAATCTTTGAAATTTTAGTATAATAAACCCAACAGAATGTATCTTTAGATAGACGTTGACTTTACACTTCAGCATGTTCTTTGCTATTCAGACTAGTGACTCCATTTCAGTGTAATTTATAGACAGCCTTTTTCACTTGGATAGGATACTAAACTACGTGCAGATAGCTTTAAATATCTCAGAAATTTTGTTTTGTCCACAACTTAAAATAGTCATACTCATGTGAGATTTTTACTGTCATCTCTATTCAGAATACATGAATGGAGGGAACAATGACAGCATAAAAAAATAGATTATATTCTTTCCCTAGAAAAGACATCAAGGTTCAAAATTGCTGTGGTATCAGGTGCTTAATCTGGTTTTGACTGGTCAAGTAGATCACTTTCACCAAGAATAGTACATTTACATTATTCATTTGTAGAACTGTTTAAACTGATTTGCGCTACTCGACACAAATATAAACTTTTAAGACCACATTTTTAGCTATAGCTCAAACACTTGTCACATGAGGCTTCTAGGAATACATTAAGATATATTGCATTTTTCTCCCCTGTAGTGGGATTATCATGCAAAAATCACTTGCTGCAGTTACTTCAGCCCTCTGCTCTAATGTGCAGCTACTACAAAAATAATTTGTCTTGATTAAATGGATTTATACGTAAAGTACTAATAAAGATCAATAATCTAATTTTACAGAAAGCAACTTAACATGCTACCAACTTTCCCTTATAATAGGGCCATTATGTTAATATACCAGGAGATAAATGTGTTTTTAAAAACGTTTTCTATTCATCTTTTTCCTCCAATGAAGCTGCTTTTCCAATTGTAAGAAAAAATAATTGGTCTATGAACTTACTCTTTAGATCATTATTAATAAATACTCAAGAAAGCTACTTCTCTCCCTTGGGAGAGCATCAGTAGTTGAAAAAAAAAATCACTGCACCACTGCTGAAACCGTTAAAATAAGAAGCCTGAATGCTGTTAGTGAAAATTTGCTGTCATTTCTGCTTACTGTAAGAAGACACAGTTACCAAGCATCAAAGATGCTTGCTGTTCTTTAAAAATGTTCTCAACTACAAGAATTGAGTACAAACAAAGGCATTTACCAGTATAAATTTCCATTGAATTTATATTTATGTACACATGTATACGCACACACACAAGTATATGGCTAGATATGAGGTTTCCACACATCACAATTCCACTTTTAAAGTTAACTGCACATGGGAAAATTTTGAAATTCAAATTTCTGTCATTTAATAATTATGTGCATGAATATATTACTACCTTGTTGTGGAAACAAGACAGCAATTCTCTACATTGTTAAGTAACTATATACAAAGAGAAACAACCACTAACTGATTTCAAGAACAACTTAAAAAATATAGCGCATTTAACCCTAAAAGGTCTATCTTGGAGATGAAAAGAGGCTGCTTTTTTTTAACTAAGTGACATTTTAATTTAAGTATTCCAGGCAATTCTGCACACTGGAGACAGTGCAGTTTGAGTTCTAGCTTCCAGCATCTTTCCAGCATCTATAAATGCTATTTGCACATAAATATCAGTGATGTCTCAGACTGGAGTACTAATAAGAAGTATATATTTGTGTGTATGTACTATACTTGCATATATATGCAATTTTTGTAAATATTATCTTTTCAGAAGGGGCGTGTTTAATACTAAAAGCAGTTAAATGCCTATTATGTGCACCTATTAGATTTTGCTATATAATCAAATGACAGTGGACAGTGACATAGGGGTAATTGAATATGTAAGAAAAGCAGTAGGAAAAGTAGCAGCTAAATTCTAAAGTAATTTTAATGCACCTCAGAATCATTTCCGTGTTATATGTCCTGAAGTTTAAAACCAGCAGAACATGAAACAATGTAGTAGATTTCTGGCTCCGAAGCTGGACAAGATATGTAAGTACATCATCATTCAGGGCACTCCTCCCTAAGTAACATTAAAACAGCACAGCTTTTGCTGGAGAAATACTAAAAGCCCAATTAATAACCAAGTCACTGAAAACATTAAGAGTATGAAATATTACTTCCATTAAAGCCTGATAGCATTTTCAGTTAAGTTGACATTATTAGCTCCTAAGATTTTGTGCAAATAAAGATCTGCAGCTTCAAAGAGATACTGAAGACAGAATCTGAAAAGAGGACTAATTTATCACTGGGAGTGGCCCTTGAGTTAACTCATTTTCAAAATATATTAAATGCTTTGTCTACTACAGGTTTTGATAGCAGTGTTGTATTCCATCTATACAAAGAAAATTAGCATTCACTGCACTCAGATATTAATCTTAAGCAGTACCAGAAAACTTCTATTCCAAAAATCAGCAAAAATAATTAATAAGCCTGCCACCATTCCCAAAAAAGCAGTTCATGAAATCATGCATAACAGCTATATACAATGAATGGAAATTCAGTGTTAATAAAATTAATTTCAAACAAGCAAGCTAAGTGATTGACTTACAGGATCAGCTGGTGCAATGTTAGAATCAAATTGGGTCAGAGTTTGTGAGCTTGAAGAGCGTTCGCTAAATGTCTCCCACTGCTGAACAGACAGAGGAGAGAAGTCAGCATGATGAGAAAGATGGGAGTAAAAGATCACTGAGGAGGACTTAGCATAGTAGTTCGGATGTTGCACTGGGAAGTACTGTATTTGCACTGGGCAGTACTTGACTTAGAAACCACAATAACGCATAAAAAAAATCTTTCTATTTCAATCTGATATTGTTGTGCAACCAAGTTTATTGTCAGATTATCAATCTTTTTACATTTCATAATGAAGATACAGGTGCACAGTCAACTCGGAAATTATGTCGGAGTTTGCCAGCGAAAGTCATACAAGTTAAAAAACTGGTTAGCCAAATACTGTAGAGATTCCATCAGTGCCACCTGTTTGTGATTATAAGATCTACAGAAAGGTTCCTCAGCTTTGTAGTTGCCCGGTGTCAAATGTATTTAGCAAGCACTGATTTTCTTACAAAGTCTCAGATAAATGAATGCTGAGCAGAGTACTCCAATCACACCAGTTCAGCTTGCCAGTGCAACTCCTGAGAAGTGATTCTATTCTGTAAGAGTATTTTTACAAATCTAGATCACTGTCAAGGCAAAGAATTAAATTCAAACATACTGTTGATTGTTAAAAGCAAATAAGTCAATCTCTGAACAGTTTTACAAGATATAGGCATGCTTTATCAATACACAGTTGTCAAGAGTCCTCATGCTTAGTAAATTAAAATACAACTGGATCAATGAAGTACCAAAGTACATAAAGTTAATGTGATCCAGAAAACTAGATGTCAAATCACAACAGGAATGCTGAACTTGTTATATCTTGGTAAAATAACATATTAGCCTATTTTCAAACAAGATTTTTAGCACTCAGAATGACAAAAATGTTAGTATAGTCATGAAAATAAATTAATACTCTTGTCCCAGCTCTAGAGACAAATCAATGCGAATGTTTCCAGATGATACAGGACATGGTATATGGTGTTAGTCAACCCAATCTCATGCACTCCTCCACATGAAGAGATATTAAATTAATAGTCTGTATATAAAACTAGTCCAAAACAGTATTTCAGAAATAGCTCTTTACAGAAATTCCTAAAGATCTGTTTTCAGTCAGCTGAAATTAATTAAATGAAATCTGGAAAAGACCCACTGAATTTATAAGAGCCTTGATGTGTGATACCTTGCAGAGACAGGGCCTTACTTTTCATTCCAGACTTGCCAACAAAGGCAAAGACCATGGGATGTCATTCAGCTTTTTTTTTTTTTTTTAATCCAAAACTACACCTTTTTAGGGAGGATGTAGAGCTTTTCCTTCCTGAATGTTCCATCTTGCTTATTGTAGGAAGTCAACTTACTCAGTGGCACTCCACCCCTCCATGAAGAAGCACCACTGCAAGTAGTATGGAACTACACAGATGTGTTTAGTCAATTTTTACTAGGTGAAAAATTCAACAGCCAAATTCTGTCAGCCTTTTCCCTGATTTGGCCTCTTGCCTTTACACGGCTGCTCATTTTCATGAAATATGCAGTTTATTTTTATTTTAAAACTACCACTACCCTTTAAACTTTACTTGGCTAGTGGCTTCAACGTTACTGGCTACACTGGCAAATAGACTGTTTAATTACAGAAATCTCGCTTCTCAATTTTTCAACACTTTCATAAAGGCATACAGCATACACGTTATAACTAAAATAAACACATGTATATATATGTTTTTTTTATATATTTAAGAGATGAATGCTGAATTTACATCTTATTCCAGTCCTCCAAAAACACACTGCAGGGCATTTATTACTTGTCCTCAGGATCCATAGCTGGGCACAGATAAATGAATATCAACACCTGACTAAACCAGGGAACATGCTATTCATGCTTCATCTTGAGATGAAGCCAGAAGCTAGTTACTGTTAACTCCCTGGTTAATAACAAGTTACATATATCTCACGTCTACTGGACTGTACCTAACTGTGAGAGATTTAAGAGTGCCCACAATACAAATAACTATCTAGGATAAATCTTCCACTAGCTGAATCTAAAATACCTGTCTTTAAGACTTGTATAAATCTTACAACTACTTTCAAAATATTTACTAAAAGCTACAATTCAACAACCTGAACAATTACTAGAACTGCCTAAATATCTGAAACAGTCATGAACTCAAAAGCAACTCTCCGTATCTGTGTCAAAGCTAATATGACACTAGACTGCTTTCAACAAAAATTTAATAGGCTTTTCAATTTTTTAAGCTCTCAGAACTAAATGCTCAACATTGAAATTGGATGGAAAAGATGTCTAAAATGAGAAAGAAGCGATCAGTGGATTGTAGAGATGAGAATTTGAATAGAGATGAAAATATGAAGAATGGAGTATCCAGGTAGATTTTTACGGTGTTCCTTTATTTTGAAGTTTGAAGGTGACAACTTGTTCCATATACTTTGTGAGCTTACACTAACTGAACCTGGCAACTGGAGTCTGAAATTCAACTGCGAGCTAGAAAAAAATAAAAGAGTAACTAATGTTTTTTAAAGTAACTGGGATGCAAACTGCCTGGAATGGCAGTTGATCCAAAGCTGCATAGCTTTTTCAAACAACTCATTTGTTGATGACAACTACAAGAGTCAACAGTTAGACTGGTGCCTGCAGTAATACCAGAAATTTTTTCACAGCACTAAAACCTTGAGGACTTTGACCTAACTCAAGCTGGAAAGAAAATGCTGAGGAGCAAGCATGCACAGCGTACAGCTGAAGAATCAGAAGTTCCGTTATGTTAGATCAAGAACTCAGCACTTAATGTTTAACTCTTATTTTAGTATAGTTAATGTTTGGTAGTATATTTAGTCAGAGAACTTTTCCAAAGCTCTTAAAGTCTGATTTGATTTTCAGGAGAAAGTATCACAGTCTCTAGCTGGATATATAAAGTCAGTTTTGTAAAAGAAGGTCTTGGCTGATAGCAAGTTATAATTAACTTTGCTCCGCCAGTGTAATTGTCCTATATTCAGTTGATTTGAGTTGCATTGGGCCCTGAAAGAATTTGTTCAACTACAATGCAGCTTACCAAGTTAACTTAATAAATCTTTATCATAAGCATGTGGGAACATACCAATGCAAATTTTAATACATTTGGAAAGCATTTACAATATTTTAGCAATAACTGAGTATCTGCTTGCCTACCTCTTAAAACTTACTTTCTACCAGCAATCTAAGAGCCACTCTGTCAAACAGAACTCAGATTCACTACTTCACACATTTTTTATTTAAAGGTACTACTGTGAGGTTTGCATTGCCCTTGAAAAGAAGGGTGGACTCTTACCAGATCTCTTTCCCCTAGAGATAAAGGAAATTTCCTCTGCTCTTAACCTTTAATCCTAAAAAAATAATGTATTTTCCATTTCATACTGATTGCTTTGGTTCCTCTAAAACTTTTACCAAGAATCTTCTAGTCACTTGAATTTTAAGTAAGAAAGGAGCTACAAAAAGCTCTTTTAGTAAGAGGCAAGATACTCAGCTACTGACAGAACTATCTTAGATGTTAAAAAGTTTTAGAATCCTCTTGAGAGTCTCATTGTTAAAGTAACTTCAATACTTTTTTCTCTTATAATGAAAAATAAGCCTACACCATCTTTGTAGTATGGTTGCAGTCAGGAAATCAACTGAGTCTCTGAAATCAGAATAAAACACTGGCTTGTTCTGATTAAAACACACAGACTAAATAGGTTAAAACAAAGCAGTAAGAAGCTCTAGGAGTTAAACTCTTACGGACTTTATAAACAATGGACAATTTGTAAATAAATCCCTTTTGGTAACCTCAGCTCCAAATGCTGACAAAATACAACCTACTATGTAAGCAATCCTATACAGTAAATACAGACAGCAAACAATGACCAAGTGAATACCTGCAGCACAAAACAGCAAAAATTTAAAATTTAAAGAAATTTACCAGTGACTGTCTTGAGATCCAACTTTGTTTTTGATGTAATCCCAGAGCTATAATTTCTCTATATTACTTGTGAAGCATTTTATATTCTGTGGTAAAATTACCTCCAGAGATAATCTCAATGTCCAGATACATCAGAAATTTATTTTGAGATTTATTTTGAAGTTTTGCAAAAGCTTTGGCTGTAAAAGCCTTCAGTCATAAAATACTGAAACACTGAGAAATAAAAAATGAATTAAATCTCTCCAATAGGTATGACATGAGATCATTTAGTGATGAAAATAAAGCTTAATTAATATTATTGACAGCATTTTAAACACTAGCTCATGTCACAATAAGACAAAAATTAAACATTTTTACAATTCAATGTGTGGAATCTTTCACTGATTTTGTATCTGTTGTTCTGCTGAAGTTTCTGTCAATGCATTCACAACTTGCAATCAACGATACACTTATGAATTACGTATGCATACAGTTTAGCTATTGATGGTGGGTGGCAATGAAACAACTCTTAGATAGAAATGCTAACCTCACTGCTCTGATTCAATTCTGGCCAGGTCTGGTTTAGGGATGGCATTGATGGAGACTTGCTTGGAGGTGCTTCTGCTGGAGAGCTGGAATAACCTACCTCACCGGTCTGTTCCCCAACTTCTGAAATGAAAGAAATGACTATAAACCAAAATCATGAACGGCATTCAGTTTGTTTTCAAAAAAAGCTGTTCACATCTTAAGTGCTAAGTATCCCTTATTTAAACTTTTAAGAGAATTGTTTGGATTGGAAGGGACCTTAAATATCATATAGCTCCAACCCCCCTGCCATGGTCTGCTAGACCAGGTTGCTCCAAGCCCCATCCAGCCTGGCCTTGAATGGTTCCAGGGATGGGGCATCCACGGCTTCTCTGGTCAGCCTGTGCCAGTGTCCCACCACCCTCTGAGTGAAGATTATTTTTTTTCTGAATATCTAATATAAATCTACCTTCTTTTAGTGTAAAGCCATTATTCTTTTCCTATCCCTACACCTCCTGATCAGATTATTCCAAGTAAATACCTAGCAACAGACAAAACAGTCAAATCACATGTACCATCAGGTGCTACCCTTCTTTAGAGGATCTTCCTGAAAAATCAGACTTTGAACGTTATTCCAAATCTTACTGGCTTCCCACCCGCTTCAGGTTTTAAATAGCACTTTCAAATCTTGATTATACGTACAGGTAAATATAATTACTGACAAGATGATAAAGTAACTTTACACTTGTGTTTATTAGCTAAAACCCAGCACTAGCAAGTTATCTTACAGAATAAAATACGCCCTTACATAAGATAAAGTAAAAACGGTGTATCAATGCAAACAAAAAATATGAAAACAGATGAAGTAAACCACTCCCTTAAAAGACCATTCTGCAAAGAGGATTTAAGTTTTAAGCCTCTTTACGAAAAGAATGATGTTTCCATTCATTTCATCTTGCAAACTGAACCAGTCTAGCAGCTGTCACATTGCAACTGTACATTGTTACTGTAATTACAATTTTCCCTGGGCTTTCAGCAGGTAGAATCCCTTGCAGAAAGCCTCGTCCTCCAGAGTTGTACCAATTTTCATGATGCAGCACTCTTTTGTTCTGTTCTAACTATAAAGGAATTGGGTAACCTAAATGTAAACAGCAGATTAGACATCCTGCATGACACAATGAAATCCTGCTTAGTGTCAGCTAATTTGCTACACAGACCACAAGTAATGCCTTGAAAGCTTCCAACAACTGAAGTTCAGTTTACAAATGTATAATGTAGCAAGAATAGGTGGAAAAAGTGACTGATAACTAGCTATACAAACTAACAATGTCTATAGACCAGAGAATTAAAACTCTGAACGAGGTAAAATACTGTAGAAGACTATTTAAATTACCACTTAAAAGGACTGCTTGAAAGAAAATAATGCAGAAATTATAATCTATAAAAAATTTTAAAAGGATTGGTTTCAGGCTTCTCAGCAACTAAACTCTACAGCCTGATCTTCTGCTATAACTCTGTATTGTGTCTGCTGTCTTTCATTGTGAAGAAGCTCATGACAAATCCAACACCAGATGGTGTTGCATGGTTTGGAGGGGGTGGGGATATGTAAAATTGCTGCTCAGAGAAAAATTCAAACTGGGAATGCTTGAATGAATGGTGGCCAACCACACCTTGAAAAACCAACAGCAGCCAATATTTCTGAAGTACTACTGGAGACAGCAGGAGGCACAGCCTAATAACAATATCCAAAACTCTTCCAGAAAGAAATAAAAATTGTCCCATCTTAAGCCCATAATCTAACACCTCAGTCTTTAAACAAAAAGAAAACAGAGAAAAACCAGTAACTTGTCAAAACTTCAAAGGTCTTATACACTTTGAGTAAACAGCCAGGTGCGAAGTTGAGACTTGTTTCCAAAATTATGCCCAGTACCTGTACGACTGTCCTTCCGAATAAAATGCCTTAAAATATTAAAGATACAAGCTGTATCTAACATCTGCTTTAGGAAAAAACTGACAATAAACATTATATCAAGTTATCAAGACCTTCAGAGGCAGCATGATGTCTGCAAGTAACCAGTATGACATTGCGGCCACTGTACACAACATTAATATACTAAATTCAACATATACCAGTAGTAATATTTTAGAAATACATATTTCTACTACTAATCTTAAATGCAATGTTAAAAAATAAAAGCTGAAAACTGCTGTGGACAGGCTACGTGGCTACCTGTAATTCAAGGAATTTACAGATACCCACATGAAAAATTAAGACATTTCTGAAAAAGTTTGAGTACAGCTAATGAGACACAAAGCATGACAGATTCTCCATTAAAAATTATCCAGAAGCATAAAATTAATTCATAATTATGCTGTATTTTGTTAAAATTCATAAGTCATGCTCTATTTTGTTAAAAACTGTACTTTTTAATACAAATGTTTTTAGTTAGGAATGACATAATTATGAAATACACTTTTAGCCTTAAAAGCATCCTGTAGAAATTAAGTATTATTGCAAAAATTCAATCTGTTTTCTGTTATTGAGGAAGGCATCTCTGAGAGACAAAATACCAGCAACAGAAGAACTAAATTTATTTTCCTTAAAAAGAAGTGCCATTGCTGCAACAGCCTAAACAAAAAACAAATTTACAGAAAAGCAAAATCTGCTCTGAGTTTCATAAAGGATTGTTAGCTTTTATAAACAGAGATAAAATTGAGTTTAAAGGAAAATATTGATGTTAATTTTCACAATAGATGTTAGACTAGTGTTCATTTCAGCTGCAGATCATAAATTCCATCAAGACAGATGCTATGAACAGTACTCAATTCTTGAAATAAATGTTTAATGACTTGGAGAGAAGTATCTGCACAATTTTCTGATTTCATACTCTCCTCACTGCAGTTTTCTTCTACAGCTAGTTTTTACGTTGACACATCTGACTCATTCTGAAAGGCTGACATTATCTATTTACAAATACCACAACACAATGTTGTATCTTAAGTGAAGCTGCTGCAATCCAGATGGTTCTTTTAAGTGTATGATCCAATTCAAAATACTAAAACCATTCAAATGCATTACAGAATTGCCACATTATTCTAGGAACTTAACACACCTCATTTCTCTCCCTGATCAGCATAAAGATCACAGAATCATAGAATGCTTTGGGTTGGTAAGGAATTTGAAGACCATCGAATTCCACCCCCCCCCATGGGCAGGGATGCCACCCACTAGACCAGGTCGCTCAAAGCCCCATCCAGCCTGGCCTTCAACACTTCCAACCCAAGCCATTCTATGATCTATGAAGGACGGGGCATCCACGACTTCTCTGGGCAACCTGTTCTAGTGCTTCACCACCCTCTGAGTAAAGAATTTCTTCCAAATATCTGAACTAAACCTACCCTCTTTTTAGCTTAAAGCTACTTCTCCTTGTCCTATAACTACACTCCCTGACGAAGAGTCCCTCCCCAGCTTTTCTGTAGCCCCCTTTAGGTACTGAAAGGCTGCTTTAAGGTCTCTCCGGAGCCTTCTCTTCTCCAGGCTGAACGACCCCAACTCCCTGTCTTCATAGGAGAGGTGCTCCAGTCCCTCTGGACTTGTTCTAATACTTCCATGCCCTTCTTGTGCTGGGGGCCCCAGCGCTGAACACACACTCCAGCTGGTGCCTCACAAGAGCAGAAGAGGGGAAGAATCACCTCCCTTGCCCTGCTCGCCATGCTCCTTTTGATGCAGCCTGGGGTATGGCTGGCTATCTGGGCTGCAACTGCACATTGCCAGCCTATGCTGAGCTTCTCATCAATCAACACCCCCAAGTCCTTCTCCTCAGGGCTGCTCTCAATTCATTCTCTGCCCAGCCTGTATTTGTGCCTGGGATTGCCCTAACACAGGTGCAGGACATTGCACTTGGCTTTGTTGAAACTCATGAGGTTCACACAGGCCCACCTCTCAAGCACGTCCAGGGCCCTGCAGCTGTTATCCCTTCCCTCCAGTGTGTCGACCGCACCACACAGCTTGGTGTCACTGGCAAACCTGCTGCGGTGCACTCAATCCTGCTGTCCATGTTGCTGACAAAGATGTTAAACAATGCCAGCCCTAGCACTAACCTCTGAGGAACGAGGAACACCCCTCGTTACTGATCTCCATTTGGACACTGTGCCATCGATCACAACTCTTTGAGTGTGACCACACAGCCAACTCCTTACCCACTGAGCAGTCCATCCGTTAAATGAATGTCTCTCCAATTTAGAGACAAGAATATTGTGTGAGGTTATCACCACCTCCTTTAAAAATTGTTTTCAAAATTCTGTGGGGCAACAGTGCTATACCACACAAAATTCAAATGGAAAGATACAGCAAGTTTCAAGTGCAGAGCTGAAGCTTCCATGCTTCCAGCATGGAAGATGAAGGAAAAGTTTCTAACCAAAAAAAAAGTAAATAATGGTACTGTTAACACACTGAAAAAGTTTAAAACTGATAACAAAGAAAGTAAAGGGAAAAATCAAGTAATTCACTTTCTTGAACTGCCTGAAAGTATGGTATTGTTGCTTCAGTCAGCAGAACAGGATCACTAACACAATTTTTTTCTTTGAGAAGGTTGTTATCCCACTAAAAATTTAGTCAAAAAGCTATTTCAGTGCCATACTTTACAGTTCCTATTTCTAAGGTGGCTGTGTAGTGAGCTTTTATTGAAATACAGCTTTTTATGGGAAAAAATATTAAGAAATTTAACTGGTTGATCTTTCTGAGCTTAATTTATAGTCCTCAGGGTGAACACATCTTAATATACACAGTAACCTGCACTTAGATATATTAGTAAATTTTAAGTATAAATTAATAGGTTACAGAAATACGGACTTGAACTGCTGCAACTACAGGTGAAGTTACAGCTAAGTCAGTAACTTCTCCTAAAATATTTAATCATAATATTTATCTGGTGATAAATCCATGTCAAGTGCTAGAAAAGATTAGCTATTTCCAACACCAGTGGCCCAAATATAGAAATAAAGAAATACACTTAACTGTATAAAACTTAAGAAGTTTGCAAGTCTCTTTTCATTGTTGCCATTAAAAACATCAGCAGAATCAAGTATCGGTTGGATTTTATTTATTTTTAGCATAGTTTACACAGCATAGTAACCTTTCAATATTCACCAGAATAAGATAACTTCCCTTTAATATGAGAGAGGAAAAACATTTTTAGTCCTTCTACAAGAAGTTTTTCCTCAAATTTAAAGACTACTTTGTACTTCATAAAAATAAGTACAAGTTTTAACAAAGCTGCCTGTAAAATAACATATACAACTTCTTGGTTTATGTCCAATATATAAAGTTTCCAGACAACTTCAGTTATATGACAAAACTCTCAAAATTGGCTATGCCAATGAAAGCAGTGGACCGACCAGGTATATATGTAGATATTTCTACATGTATAACAATATATTTTGTTATTCCATATCCTATGAAGATGTTGCTTGGCAATCACCTTGACGCAAAAATAGAGTGGATAGTTTTTAGGCATTTGCTAGACCTTCACCCAATTAATTGTAGATTTTTCTTACGGAAGTCTTCTCCATAGTAACGTGCTTACTCATACTGAGAACACTGTAGTTGCTGCTGACTGCAGCTGAGAGGCTGAGGAACTGAGCTACTCCCACAGAACATGGTTTAATTATTAAAGCATAGGTAGCAAGAGCCACTCTATCTAGTTTAAGAACTCATCAATAATTGCCAGGTTAAAAATCTCTGAAATCTGACAAACACAGTAGGAAGGGACCCCCCTTTTGAAATATTTAGTAATAAGAAAAGCTCTAGAAAACCATGATACCCGTACAACACCTACAGTATAACCTGACATTCCAAAGCAAAGACTGCTTAATGTTGTTTTTCTAGCCAATAGATTTCACTTTTTAAAAAAGCAACACAAACATAGAAGTCATCAGTAGTGAATGGTACCTAAAAACATCTTTCCTCTGAACACAAGATTGTAAGCAACATTAAAGTAAAAAGGCTACAAGTTTTATTACCTATTACCTATATTCAAAGCCTCACCATCAAGAATGGTAAGAATGGAATTCTGAGGAATTATCTGAAGTTAATTTTAACACAATTATTTGAAGTTCTACAAAGATTCAGTATTCAATGCAAGTATAGTATTTATGAAGTAGGTTATAAATATTCAGCTTTATTTATCTGTTTTAAAATAAAAAAAGATTGCCAAAACCAGCCTGTTTTTAAATAGCACATTTACATGGGATAGTAGTTTGCTTTTCAGTGATGCTTCCACCTTGCTTTCTAAGTGTTTTAGACAAATATTAACAACCTGAACTCATACATTCAACAGTTTACCTGGGAGCAACCAAATCTAAAGGACTATGCACAGAAAAATTAGTTGTGAGGGCAACAGAGGATAAATTCTGCTGTTTAGTCAAGTGTAGAATTAAAATATCTGTGCTATTTAATCCTGTGCTTTTAAACTGTCCTACCCCTAGCACTTAATCTCAGAATATTTTTTAAAGTACCTTTAAGACTTAGAAACTCATGCCCTATTTTCAGAAGTTTTAGCAAACAAAGCATATTTATTTGAAACCAAGTTTGAAGTACATTTGGATTGGTAATTTGGAATACAATGGTAACCATGAATAAATCTATATTGTGATAATCTTGTTTTCCTTAAGTCACCTGTAAAGAACACAGGCTGCATTTCCAAATGAGACCATATGTATACTATGTTTAAATAGCATCTCCATGTAGAGAAATATATATGTGCTTGGATTACATCTGAGCACCGATTAAGATTTCTAAAAATTGCACAATGATTCACTTTTCACCAAGTATAGCAAAATGATCACTCACAAAACCTACAAGTGTCTGCTGATATAATGTAACCTTAACTATGACATCAATTGCAAATACCAAAATTTGTGCTGAAAAATGTCTTACCCGTTGAGTCTTCCAAATCAATCAGTTTAGGCATTAAACTTTCAGGTAGCTTTTCTGGCAAATCATATCCATTCTTCCTAGCAACCACCAGATGAAATGCAGCACAGAACTCATCCAACGTCAGTGCACCGTCTTTATCAAAATCCGAAAGTTCCCTAAAAAAGGAAAACTTAGTATAAACATAACAGAATTTCTTAAGTTTATTTCCAAATGACAAACTTTTGTTGTGCTACTTAGAAGATCAAAGAATGCAGCCTGTAGTTTATTTACCCTATTAAGCACTCCATATTAGTGCTACGTGCTTTATTCTTCAAAAGGTGAGCTTTTATCAAGTGACATTTCTTAGAATATATTTAAACCCACTTATTTCTCTCCATTTTGTTCAACTTTTACTCCTTTCCCTGCATTTGAGACAGTACTACACAACGTTATTGGTCTCAGATTTCTGGTATACTAAAGCACTTTCTTAAAGTGCCTAGAAATGATACTGCTGAGGTAACATGATTTGTTTTTCAATAGGAAAAAATGAGTTAGAAATCATTACACTGTTTGAAAGACTAAATCTGTCAAGGTAAGCCATTTAATGATAGAATGCAATGATGCAGTATAAATTCTAGAATACAATAAAAGACAAGATCTGCATCGAGTCAAAGACGAATTGATTATAAAGTACCACTAATTGCATTTAAAAATATTTGCATCTGTATGTTTAAATAAAACATACTGAGACTCAAAAAATACAGAATTAAGAAATTTATTATTTGTATTTAAATACAACTTTAACAATATAAAATCTCAGAGTACTTCTTACTCTGAAGGGCTTGAACTTTCTTCACAAGCTAAAAAAATGCTTTTTTAGTAGTGTCAGGCTAGACCCATTGAGGCCCACTGAAGTAATATTTGCATAAATGTAAGACTAAACTTGCTAGAGTAATAGTGAAATGTTACTTAACACAGTCTAGAAAACAGAAAATCAGGTAACTGATTGCCAGGTAGCTGTGATCTTTCAAAACAATCTCAATACGCATTACACTTACCAAATATGAGAAAGTTCAAGAATAGGTAGTTTTGATTTAGTGAAAAATTCTTTAGCTGCAGATCCTGAAAAATTACAATAACAATTTTTAATATTTGAACCAAGTTAAATAATTAGAAGATTTGCAGATTTATGATCAAGGAGATAAGCTACTTGGCAAAGGTTTGGGGAAAAAGCATAACTTATTTCTAGAACTGAAGCAAAAAAGGCAAATGGGTTTCAAGTCCTTTCTTGAATTACACTGCAGTTTACCAGGAAGCTAACAGTAAAACGCAGAACTTTCTTTGAAATGGTATGCAAACCTGGAGTACCCAACAAAGTCTTTGTAACAGAACTACTGCACCCACAATTATATTTTTTTAAAGAGTAACTTACCTGGTATAAATCCGTTTAGATCAGGTTGAATGGTTTTAAACTGATTAACATAATACTGCCTTTGTTCATCAGTAATTTTCCAGGGGTCATCATAACTACTTGATTGCCTACGAATTTCATTGGTTGTTGTAGCTGATGCTACAGTTCGTACTGTTGTCTGGTCCTGAAATGAAATATTTTTCCTCAGTATTATCTACCTAAAGTGTTCCTATGAATTCTGAACTTCTTGCCTTCAAAAAGTAAAGCATAGTTAAATCTCACAGTTCTTTAGAAACTACAAGAAACTATCAACAGATTGCATCTACAGGATAGTGACAGGGTATTTTTGCACATGGATACGCATGGGTAGGAATGATTGCAGGTATGTAAGCAAAAAAAAAAAGCATGGCACATTTGCAAAGAAGCTAAGCACAAATAATTCAAAGTCATAACTGCTGACATTTCTAAGATTAGTAACTTCCAGTTAAATCACTCCAAATGAGGTCAACTCAATTTAAACAAGTATCTGCTGGGTATACAGCACTGAACAGACTACAGCACAGCTACATGGTAAACATCTGCAGTGAAAAATATGAAAAAAGGACTGCAACAATCTGAATGAAGCAAATTAAATACCAATAAAGTGTCACACCTGGACAGAAGCAGGATGCATGGCTAAAAGAGCACTGGTTGGTGGGGTATCTGCAAAACTGACCCAATTTTCTTGGTGAGGTGGTGGTGAATGGCCAGACCATATGGGATCACTAGAAGTAGATGAGCCTGAAAGTAGAAGAAACATTTATTTCAGAACACAACCCTGAAAAACTGTCTTAGAACTACAGGTATGGAAAACAGTGAAAAAAGCCTGAAACACAAGCTCCTGCCAGGAAGACACCCACTTCAAGAATGGTGAAAAAAAATAAATCCAAATTACACCAAGGTTATAAGAGTCTTCCCTGACAACTCCCGTAGATTTCTACATTACATAAACTTAAATTTGTACTAAAAATACAGAAGCAAGGAATAAGTTTATTGCACGTGTGAACTTTAAATTGGCTTTTATACGTTTAATAATTCTTGAATAACACTCATAGTTTTAAGTTAATTGAAATGAGCTCCTGTATGGACGGTTATTTGGAAGTGGCAAGTTATCTCAGCATGCCACTTACTTTAAACTTTTATTTTTTAGGTTTTAGTTTGTCTTTCAAAAACACAGCCTTTGAAATTCCTCTTAATCTCACACTTTTTGGCACATAAAATTTAGAATTTAAAAAAAAATTAACTCAGCTACTTAAAAACAGTCCAGTTTATAAAAGGCATACTGATGACATCCACAGCGTATTAAATAACTGGAACACAGTAACTGTCATTCACCCAGTGCCTTGTTATAAGCTACTTCTGAAATACTGCCGTTAAAACAATGATTAAAACAATTATTATTAAAACAATGATGAAGCAAACCTTAAAAGATTTAGCCATCCACTGTTCTGCATGCAAAGAACTCAGAGAAGAGGGAAAATGAACCATCTGAAAGGCTAGAAGAATTCCAGGACTCCCTTTAACTCCTCAATTCTTAAAAGAAATGCTGAACTCCTTAGATCTAAACAGCAGTTGTGGAACTGAATACTTTACTCTTCTTGATCAAGAAAATGCTTTCTCTTGAAATGCTTTATTTCAAGAAGAACGTAAATAGAATTTGAGAATAGAATGTCTCCTCTGTAGAAGCAGATTCCCTTTTAAAAGGCAGGCCAACTTTTTGTGACTTTTTATAAACACACCACACAACCCACAAACAAGAAGTATGTTAATGACACAACTGACACCAAGATCCAAATTGAAGCAATAAAACCCCCAAATCTATTCTCAAGAAACTGAGAAACCAGAAGAAGCTAGAAGAAATCCATTTTCATATTGGCAATTTATTCTATGAAATTAATAAACAGTTCCAGGTTCTTGGAGACTGAAAACACTACAGGTACACAATCTGCAGTAAGCACAAAGGAAATCTGAAAATCAGTGAGGCACACTTAGGGCTAACACCTAGAGTACCAGTAATGTTGCTAGTATACAAAGTTGCTAAATAATATTTGACAGTATGCAATTACTTTTTAGTTCCATAAACAACCTTTTTCTAAGAAAGTAATGAGAAAAACGGTTAAAACCAGTTTGTTTGTTGTTCTCCAATGTACAACAACCATAATTGTACATGACACATTTAAACTCACATTACAAAGAAGAAAAAGAGAGACTTTTAGGAGGAGGATATAAAATGATTTTTGGAAGAAATAAATCAAATATACAAAATCAAAAGGTTTCATTATTTCTGATTTTCAACAAGATAATGAAATAGAACCCCCTCACACACCTTTTTTTTTTTAATTGGCTTTACCAGGATAAAGAGCCACTATTAACTGACTTGTCCCCTAATGTGCCTCCACTTCTGAACGCTCCCCATTTGACCTGGAGTTTCCAGTGACTAGCCCAAATTCCTGAGACTAAAGGCAATGTGTTTGAGCACTCTTTTTGCCTTCAGTGTTCTTCAGTAGCTAGCCTAACTCTAAAGCTTCAGAAAGAAGCATGCAGGAAAGCTCAGTTTAAATCCACCATCTCTCTCTCTCTCAGTATAGGGCTAACTAACTAGACTCAGGCAAACCTTTTCCATCTCTACTATGAAAACGCCATGTTCCAAATTTACTTTTGATGAAACTGATTTCCCTTTCTCTGTCCTGCAGCAACTGACATTAGTACCACTAAACTTGTATATTTCTTCCTACCTTTATTTCTTCCAACAGCTTTAGTACTGTTCAATCTGTACCCCCCTTTGAATTGCACCTTTTCCAGGGCAGTACTGTCATAGAAATGAGGACACCAGTAGCACCGAATTGTATTAACTTCCAAGTACTTCACACACATTAGTCCTTTCACCCCTGTTCAAATCTTCCAGGTACACTCTTGTTCTGCAGTTCTGGCTATGCTGATTTTTTAGGGGACAGACATCCCATGTCTTTTAGAACATTTGAAAAAAAAAAGACTGCCTGTGTGGACACCTAGACTGTGGACAACTATACATACATTCCTGAAATACCAGCAGCCAGTAGCTCTCAATCACCAAAAACTACACTTATTTTGCACTTTAATTAGAAAAACAAAATCACTCTCCAGTTTCTTCTCAAACTACAAAACCAGACTGGGAACCCTGAGGTAGAAGAGAAAGTTGACAAAAACTGAGTCATAGGGAAGACTCAGAACAGTCAGTACTTATGATCTGAAAAGCAAATGAAGAAATAAAACTTCAAAACTGTGTGCTTCTATCACAGAATGCAATCAAAAGCACTGTGAATCAAGCGTATGCCTAACACTGATTATCAGATATCAGATTAGGACAAGCTAGAGGAGTCTTAATGCAATGTTTACTATGAAGACAGAGCTTGAATTCCCATGGCTGCTCTATATTCTTCTCCTATAACTATGTGTTGGTACTCAAGCTAACTTCTGGAAAGTGATCTAATTTCCCGTGGGAGAAAAGTTACCCCTTCACTTTAGACTGTTTCTTATGTTTGTAGTTTATCTAGATAAGAAGGAGCTTATACTTTTCAATAAGACATGTCAATGTGGATTTTCTTTTCAGATCTAATTTTTCAAGTAGTTCTGTAAACTAGCTCTCCTTACCACTAATTTGTGAAGAAACAAAACCAGGTGAGTAAAACAATGAAATGCTGTAGAGCTCCTCCCTCCCTGAATAACCACACATGTAACAAGGCCAAGTATCAGTAATTACTCAAGTATTAAGTAGGAGACAAAAGATAATATAGTGCCCTACAAGCTCAGTAAATTCAAGCAATAGACATCCTCCACTTCTGTCCACAGAGTTTCCTGATTGCTGATTTCAATAGCTGTAGCAAAATCAGTCCCAACAAGGAAAACAAATGAGGACAGCTTGGGGCTGCAAATTCTCTTACATATTCAAGCATTGAAATAAAACTTTCAGGTAATGCCAAAGAAAGCTAGCAGAGTCCCTATGACTAAACAGAAAACATTTTCTGACTAGTTTAAAATCATTATTTGGATATTACCAACATAAATGCTCTGTTTCCAGTCCAAACTACAAGATGATCAAACTTAGAAATAAGCTCTAGTCCCATGGCATGCCACTCAATCATTTTAATTTGGGCATACAGAAGGGATGTTTTCTCTCAGGTTTCTCAGAGTCAGCATGCTTCAAAATGCTGAAGCTTGAATGCAAAATGAACTGAAGGTAACAGATTTTCTTCCTCTTCTGTAGTTCTAGAAGCAGGAGGGTCCTACCTCATATTCAATTCTGTTTCTGTATGTAGCAGGTTTGGCTGGGATGCAGTTATAGCAGCTAATATGGTTCTATGTTTTAAATTTGTGACCAGAACAATAGTGAATCAGTGTTTCAGCTATGACTGAACAGTGTTTGCAGAGCATCAAAACCTGTTTCTCTCTGCCCCCTTCAGTGAATAGACTGCGGAATGTGCAGGAGGCTGGGAGGTGATACAACCAGGCAGATGACCCAGAAGAACCTAAGAGATATTCCACACCACATAGCATCATGCTCAGCAATAAAACTTGAAAAGGCTGGGGGAGTTTAGCAATCAGACATTTTTGCTTGGGAACATTAACACAACTTAACAGTTTTACCTTAACACATGTAAATCAAACATCTAGAAGACTTGGTAGGCTCAGGTTTTAATAGAACTGACTAACATTTAAGGATGAGACCTAAACTAACCATAAACTTCACTTCCCACAGGTGACCAGTGTCTGTCACCAAACTGTTCCTGATGTTAAAGTATGTCTTCTGTGGTCCACCTTAACAAGAAGTCTTGAACAAAGATGGTAACAAACCTTAGCTTATGATTTCAGATCACTTGTGTAAACTCACTGAGCTAGTCATGACAGTGTCTCAGATTCCAGCTTCTTATGAAGAATCACTATCGTAACCGAACTAGTGGGAAGCTAGGTGGCAAAAACTGTAAAATCCAAATTCTTTTGTTCTGTTGAGACAGGAACCAGTTTTCTTCCCCAAGAAATTTAGAACTGCAGCTCTAAGTGCTGCTTGATACTTCTGATACAAGACTATGTGTAAGGTCAATTAATGACAATTGAGTCATTATCTATGAATTTATTGTACACCTGATTTGATACAGAGAAGTACTATTTTATTTTCTTCATTGTGGGAATATGATGATACACTGGAATGTCTTTCCTATGCACAGGTCACTATTTCTTTGACCTCCTCTTTCTTCAAACAGAAATTACACTTCAATTTTTGCTTGATTAAGTGCAACACGCTATTATTAGACCCATTAGAAATATTTTCATACTTGAGGGTACATGCTTTAAGTTGACAAACCCACCACTACTCTCAAACAGTATTTCACATACTATGAAATACAAGCAGAGAGACCTGGGTTCTTATTGTTCTTGGATCACAAGTGAAATGGCATAGTTCTGCCTCAAGTCCTAGTGAAATAATGCAGCCGCAAATTACCTGATTTCTCAGCAACATTTTACATCAGAATCAAGATGAGCTTGCAGCACTGTTTTTAAGGAAAGCGAAGAAGCTATCAAATTTCTATTTCAGGCTTGCAATAAAAGCAACTAAACTTTGCAAAGGAAGAGGTATCAAGGAACTGAACGCTGAAAAAAAGAATCATAAACAGTATGCTTAAATGGCTGGACTAAAGCCCAAACATACTAATAATGTTTATTTTTGATTCTAAATTGAGTATTATTTACTATTAAGTGCCAGCCAAACACTGACATCAACCTGTGCATAAAACCCATTTCACTTCTAAATGTCCATGAAAATAAGTTTTATTTCTTTTTTCAACTAATTCTAACAACATAATACCTGGTCCTCTATGGATGCTTATAACTACAGAGTAAGAATAAACTGAAAGATCAATTAGAATATCAAGGCTGAAATAAACAACCAACGACAGTTCAACCTGAAATCAAAACCTACAAAATGCAACTATTATTTATGAGTATCAAAAATGAAATCTGAATTAGAATTACTGCACCATTCCCAAATGCAACTCCAACAGATATCAGAAAATAAAAGAGCTTTTTCAAATTTGAGATACTAAGGGATAACACTTTAAATCTGAGCACAGAAATACAACAGTGATGGTCTTCATGTTAAATGAAAAACACAAAAGGATGAAAACTTCATAAAAACAAGTGATTCTACTTTGACACATCTGAGATACAGTAGCTTCAGTCATGCTTATGTGAACTTTAAAGGAAGCAAAAAGAGAATTAGTTGTTCCAACAAGTCATCTCATCTACCAGAAACATAATTCAAACGAAATACATTATCTGCTTCTTTCCTTGAGCTCGCCACATTTCTGTGTATACTGACGGTTCCTATCAACGAGGTGTCAGCTTCATATTATAACTTTCCACTTTCATCTTCTAGCTCCCTCCAAACTCTCAGCATTTCCCATATCATGCTGAGAAATGGATCTGCAGTATACAAGGTCACAGATTCCACAATGTTGACAGCAACATGAAGGTTTGAATCTACAACAAAGTTTCCAGAATTGGAAAACACAAAGATAAATTGCTCTAAACTCAGTTACTCATTTCAGAATTCCACAACTTTGTGCTACAGCTGAAGCATAACAGAAGACATTTATACCTGGTTGTGCTTCACTAAATGGAGCCCAAAAAGGCCCAGGTCCAGCAAGAGGTCGTTCATTATTCCCTCCGCTGGGATGGCGGCTGTGCTTCCTCCATGTATGTGGAGAGGTTGGTGGGGACTGCTGTGGTGAAACAACTGGAGATGTGGACTCCTAATAAAACAAAGGAATCTTTTAAGTTTTGTACTACATAACTAAATACATGAAAGCCTATCTAAAACTGTAACTTCTAGAAACAATCATCACTACAGTTAAAATACACTCAGTGAAAATTTTAGTACTTATCAAAATGAGGGAATAGATGTCAGGTACTGTACAACTTGCATTGGACATGTTCATTTCAAAAATCTACCATATTTTTAATCTGCTATTAAGACAATAGCAATGCCAAGTTAAATGACTTTGTTTCAAAGGAAAGTCTCACATGACTCACTTTCACTTGTGATAGAAGTTACATTTGAACCCAGGTCTCAAAACAGTTACTTACTATACAACCTATCATCATACCTAAATTTTATCACAATTCACAATCCAAATTTCTTCTAAAAAAATAAATCAGAATTAAACACTGAAAAAAAATATAGTCGACAATGTCCATTATTTTTAAATATACAAAAATGTAATGTATTTTTTTCTCCAAAAAAAGTAATGCAGTTTATGATATACTTCTCTGCTAGGCACACTAAGGTAGTTGTCTTAATTTTAAGGTTCAAGCTTTTCTTTAATACCATATTGTACTACTTCCCCCCCAAACAGACACGAAAATACAATCAGTGTAATTTCTAACTTAGAAAAGTTCTCACAAGATAACCATATTACCATATAATTCAATTCTGAAGTAAGATATGATGGAAAAATTGTTTAAATTGTAAAAAATATTTATATCATAGAATAATTTCCTTGCTAATTTTTAAATTAGTTTGCTATACCTTCCAGCTCTAGCTAAACTATAGTAGTGAAAACAACTACAAGAAGGCAAAGCTTAAGCTCCAAATTCCCTAAAAAGTAAGAACAAAGCTAAGACATCTCAAAAGTTGTTTCAGCACTAGACCAAAATATCTGTTTGGTACTCTCTCACCTGTATATATTATATGGTATAGGCTTTATTTACCTTTCCAGTTCACCCACACAGCAGAGACTAACACACCTTCTGTAAATAAGTTTTCAAGCATTTACTAACACATGTATGTGTGCTATCCCATAACTTGTGTTAGTTTCAGAGACAACTATCTAAATAAACTGAAAGCCACAAGAATATATCCAGAAAGGAGCTTCCTATCAGCTAACATACCATTGAGTAACAACAGCCAGATCGACTGTAGGTTTCCACACAATTACTCCCAGAACATCATCTACACTTTGCCAAAAAAATGCAAAGGCCATTGTGCTTTTTAACAATATTACCTCTGTAAAAATCTAAGTCAACCAGGAAGTGCCATAAACCAGCATTCTTCAGTCATGCATACTACAACTACAGGTATCCTAACAAAAAAGTTTTAAAGGTCCATGATGACAAAATTAGTTTCTGATGTGCTGATGCAGACTATTGAAATCCTAAACATTTACATATTTCCTACAAATTTGGAGCTTCAGCTTACAGACTCCAAAATTATTAAATAGAAAAACCACACAACTAATTCTGATGTCAAAAAGCTTCTGGAAGAAGGATTTGACACATCTTCAGCTTCTTCATTATGAGACATTCGCAAAACATTTTAAATCAATTTAGCAAGACACAAATGTGCTCTCCCCTATGCAATCTCCGTCCCTCTCAAGCCACTCCTCACATTCATTGAGCTAACTTACTAAAAGCTTAAAACAGCTAAACACCTTTTATATATATTTTATAATATTTATATAAAAAATGGCTCAGCCGAAGTACTAATAGCTTGATGCAAGCATAAAGAAGGAAGACGCAGGCCAGAAAAGACTGAGAGGCAGGACCATAGGAACATTGACTCAGATGCAAAAGCAGTCATGGAAAAGCACAATGAGTAAGGGCTTAGTGAAACTAACTACATACAGGTTAACTCACCCTTTATAAATAGAAAACCAACAAGGTGCCTGCCTTTACAGTGGACAAACAGTTCACATTTTAATATACTCATGCCTAAGAGTAAGTGAAAACTTCCTACAACAGACCACATGGACTTTACACCAGACTTCTAATTTTATTAAACAGAGGTAATACATTCCTGAGGAACACCTCTGTTCCTCACATTCATACATACATTCATACATTCAGCCACATACATTCACTCTCAGAATGCTCTCAGCTTATGGGAGAATATGATGCAGTTGAGAAGGGATGTTCATTTTCCTCTGTCCAATCTATTAGTAGAAGAATTTGTTTTTGAAAGCCTAAAATATCTAGGACCAGATTTTCTGAGAGTATTACAGTAAAGAACCTAACTGGAATGCTCTTCAAAATCCTAACATGTAACAGCTACAATAGTCTGTGCAGCTCAGGTCACTGACAACTTCCTGGTTTTCAATTTTATCAATTATAACAGAAGTTACCCACCTAATCTCTTTGGGAACTTGAACAGATTTACTCATCTGCATATGTATCATTACGTTAATATATCATTTAATAAATCAGCTACTATTAAAATTTTACAAAATTGTTTAAGCACTTTCAAAGCAATTCAATTAAATCCTTAATAAAAATTCAATTAAAAATTTTAATTTCTATCTAAACAAAACTCAATAGAAGTGATAGTAATTGCAACAATCTGGCTTCTACTATCTTAACACATTTATTTTCCCTCTATTTTATTGCAGAAAACAGATGTAAATTAAAGTATGTTGAAATAATTAACATTTTCATGTCACGTCAAACCACTGAGAACACTTCCCAATTCCAAAAATAAACTTATAGTTAACAGGCAAAAATTCTGTGATACATCTTAATTTAAAAAAAAACAAGTCACATTAAAAATCAACCTAACCTAAACTGTTAAGAAAGCATGATTTTTGTTAAACTGGAACTACTAAACTAAGACACTATGAAGGAACTTGCACTTTTGGGGGCTGATAAGCAGTAACTAAACATGCTAATTAAAAAAAAAGGTGTTATAATATATGGCTCTACGAAGAGAACCATAGTGAATGTAAGTCAAACAAACTGGTGTAAAGCAAAACAATACTGTGCTAAAGCATCTCTGGAGTGATCTCAACCTCAGAAGGAAATTGCAAGCATACATGAGTCAAATGGGATTATAAACCTTTTCCTGGATCTCACACCTCAGGCCAGAAGAAAGCCTCCTAAGAAGAATTCCAGAGACAATGAAGCCAGACATGGTATCCGAAGGGTAGCTCTAAAGGTGTTGTGATCCAGGTCCTGATACCACACAGCCTGCATAAGAGTCAGGGAACAGATCCATTATGAAGAAAGATCATGCTAGAGGTGGTAATTGCATTGCAGAACCCATGATTTGGTAATTAACTAGCATTCATATTGAAGAACAAAATAGTCCAAGGTTCAACGGGACCTTCTCTACATGAAGCACTACACATTTTCAGATGGGAGTGTGGCTCAGCCAAACACAAACTTGTTTGACCTCAGGAGTCTGAAAGGTTTTAGACTAAATTTTGAAGAAAATAACTAAAACCCCAGAGAAAGAGGATAAATCGCACTTTTACTCAGGTTGGCTGATATTTTTGTGATTTTCTAGACAAAGGAACCACACTACACTTAACCTGAAATTCAGAACACTTCAGTGTGGTGCCATGCAAGACAATTCCAATAACCTGTAGATTAATACAGGAATCTAAGTGGCAAAAGAACCTGCTACGGAATGAACTGCATTAGCATGAGAACTATGAAGTGAAAGCTCTAACAACACTCCTAAAAGACGGAGTTGGGGAATGACCTAACTTGACGCTGTAGGTAATTGTTTATACGCACTAAACAGCGCACTGATGAATTCGGACAACAAATGTAAAGTGGGCATCAGAATTACTTCAGAGACATAGATAGCACTACACTATCAGATTTTAAAGTGAAAAATAATTTCTTGCAGAACAGAAATATCAAAGTGCATAATCAACATCAGCAAGTTGAAGAAAAGTCTGATGCATAACAACTTGTCAAATATTGCAGCCGTGGAAAAAGCAGATCTGTCAAGATATGATGTGAGACAGATACATCAGAAACAGGAAAGTACCTTGAAAATAATTACTAATACTAGAGAGATCTCATCTGAAACAAGAAATACAAATCTAGTCAGGTATTTCGTATGAGAACAAATTTGGATCAAGGACCGAGAAGGATTACAAGAATTACTGTGAAATATTTTGTCAAAAAAAAAAAAACCCTGAGATTGTGGCATATATGTAATCGTCTATAATGTCAGCAAAAGTGTTTTGATCCGCCTACTGTATTATTTGGCAAGAAGAAATTACTCTAGCAGAAAAACCTATTTTCTCCCTGTGTTTTATCTCCACTAGGGTCTGCAGTCAACATACAGTTAGTAAAGGTTTGATTCATTATTTGTCTTTACTCATACAGTTTTGTAGCTTCCATGAGAGCAGAGCACGACTTCAGTCATCTACTATTCATATTCATTAATATTAAAAACCTACAAATTTCTGGCTAGTGCTTCATTTACATAATACCACTATAAATTAAAAATTTCACCACAAAAATGGCTAGCTAAAAAAAAAAAAAAAAAGAAGAAGAAAGGAAGGACGTTCTTTAATTTGCCTTCTGCTTACTTTAAAAGAAACCTCATTTACAACTGTTTTCAAACACAACCTGATTGCGATTTCCTGACACTCTACTGCCTCTGAATGGAGCTCATTGAGGGGAACTGCGAGAATGATACATTGATGAAGAAATAGTTCTAGCTATGACATTCCAGTATACAATACCTAACGTGAAATTCTTCTACATATGTTATTTTTAATTACGAAACAGTGAACCTGTGTGTGACAAGTTTCACCAATACAGAAAATGGCACATGAAAGTAACCAGGGCCAAGTTATCATCAGATTTCACCTGAAATATTCTGGCTGAAATATTTTTATGAAATCCATGTATTTTGAAGTAGCTGACATTGTCAAAGCCAGCAAGCAGTTTAAGGAAAAAAAAAAAATCGAAATCCAAAGTCACTAATAGAGTATCTAACAGCTAAATGACAAGCTCTGTAAATGAACTATATAAGCTTAAGACAAATTCTTCCCAAAAGAAAAGTGACCTCTAGAAAAATAATTTACTTCCCAAACTCCAGCTCCTTCCATCTTCATCACCGAAAGAGGTAGCATATAATGGCAAAGAAAGAACTTTAGACTGAATTAAGAAATCTGAGCAATATCTCCAGGTAAAGACAATTGGATCGGAAATTTCTAGGAAACAAACAGCCTCTCTGGGAACTTGGGAAAGGAACTTGGGTTCCCATCACTTTTTCAGTTGAAGGGCATTCAAATTCTCTTCTCATTTTTAATACGGTATCCCAATCAATAAATATTAGATAGGGACAAGGCTGCTTGAATAGATTCATCGTACAGTCAGAAATCTAAGTATCAGACACAGAAAATGTAGTTTTACAACTGGGTGCAAAATCAGACAATACTTCCCTGATGTTCTGAACCAAGAATACAGCTCAAAACTGCTGGACTCAATGCAGTGCTGTCTGCTACATCTGCTCCAGGACTGTTTCCTGTGCCAGATCTCTCAAAGCGCTTGTACACAGACTTTCTTTATCCTGATACTCCCATACAGATTTGTGTAAGAGAGAGATACCATGCTGTTTACATTAGCCAAGACAGAAAAATGAAATTTGGACGCTTATACACCTTTGAGTATGTGGTTTCTTTTGACAGAATTTGTAGACTTCAAACACCAGACTTTGTTATTTTAAAGTTACAACAGGTCATATTTCTGTATCAAATTGCAGCCATTCACCAAAAACTCAACACCCAATTGGAAGCATTTCAACCAAACTAAACTCCCATCATCAGATCAAGTGGATCTGTGATTGTTGACTTCTCTATGGGCCTCTCTGGAACTGTATTTCAAACATACCTACCCAAAGTTGGACAACAACAAGCTATTTTCAGATCTACTGTAAGACCTCATTTCATTAGACTCCATTTGCAATTTGGAAGGAAGTAGCAAGTGAATAATGATTATAGGTGGCCTCTGCCAATTTACCTCAGACCACTAAAAAAAAATGGATCAACCTCAGCTACTTCCAGAGAGATTAATAAACATTTGTTGGTCAGCGAGTTCTTTGACTCACAGCAAGATTAGGAATAATCTCCAAGTTACTTGATTCTCTACTAATCAAGCTCAGGAAAGAGCATGCCATGGCAGAAGAAAACAGGGAGAGTCAACACCTATGCACAGACACATACATCCTGGAAAACACAATATTTAACTTAGTATTCTTGCTTTTGTTAGATTTCCCCATGGAAAGAGAATGTAAACACTATAAATAAAGAATTATGAGGAAGCACAAAGTTGTAAGCCCATATGGTTTTCATTCATTCATGTATTATTCAGTGGCTTAAAAATGGGAACCAGTGAGCAAAAGGAAATCAGTGTCCTCATTACTATAACACAATGAAAAACTGTATGAAAATGTGTCTTATTTCTGGTTCTTATCTTCTGTACTTAATCAAAATCCTGAACAATAAGATCTAAGAAAGAAAGCAGTCGCTGTGAGGTTTTTTTCTAAATAAAGTATTTCAGCTTTAAAGTTATAACAGCATATTGAAGGACTAGACATCCAGTCTTCAATGGCATTCAGTAATGCTTTTGTGAAGACCAGAAAGCTGATGTGAACTAACTGACAAACTAGATACTAATATAATAATTACCACTTCATAATTGCTATCATATCTTACACATTTATTTTGCCTTCTGTCTCAATTCTTTATCACCACCAGTATTTCAAACATGTTCTAAGACTGCATTAAAAAAAATACCCGCTACAAGGATTTTAGCAGTTTATGTAGTATATAACACATTATAATATTTGTTTTTTAAAATAAACAACATTGAAAGCAACAAAGTTTAGAAATGCTATCAGATTGATACCTATGTGGCAAAGTAGCAGTTATGAGTCCTATTTAATCTCTTAAAGTTAATTTACCTGTTGATCAGTTGATGTACGTTGCTGAACAGCATCATGGCTCACGGAGCCTTTTTTGACTTGTATCCTGCCAGGTGGAGGAGGAATCACACCTGAATATGAAGCTGGGTTATCAGCATCCGAAGAATACAAGGCTGTATGTCTTGATTCTTGTTCATTCTTTGACACTACAAATCTGGGAAGAGGGAGGTCCTTTACTGTTTAAAAAAACAGAGCAGGCCATTTACTGTACAGAAGTATGAATCTTGAAAAAAAAAACAAAAGCATGCACTTGATTTTGTAGTTACAATTTTGTGTGCCTCTATTTAAACACTGAGGCCACTGCTACAGTCAAGCCAACACCTTCAGGTTGGAAAAACAGCAAATTACTTTTCTGCATCATGCTTCACAGTTCTTCTACCCACATTCTAGTAGAAGACCTCACATAGCTCCCTTAAGTTAACATTTTTGCCCTACAAATCTGCATTTAATGGAGTGGCAACCAGACAGTCCAGATTTAGCTAGTTTTTATCTTAGTTTTACCAAGATTTTAACTACTGAAGTGTGATTTGCAGTAACTATCTAGATATTATCATTTCTAGCACATACATAACATCAGAACATGTTCATTAAAATGGTTCATCAGCAAAACAGATGCTGAAATACTATAATTTGTTCACCATTATCTTTTGGTGAGTTGCTGTAATTTCTATTTATAGCAGACACTATCATCTAGCCTTATTGAAAAAACTGCAAATAATGACTGAACACATCTGTGTATACCTTTCTACATGAGAAACTAAATTAGTTGTTTTAATGAGATACAACTGGGAACAATATTCAATATCACCTTACTTTATTCTGAACATCTATAAAATAGTTTCTACAAAAAATAGAAGGTCCTTAGCTTTATGTATCATAGTTAAGAATCATCTACTTCTCACTGCAAGATTTCTGTCATTTTTCTGAATCCCAGGCAGTTTTCTCACTGGTCTACTGTGAATCAAAATAAACCATGAATTTGCCACACAGCTTACTCATATATTTGGCGTGTTTGAAAAACAATTTACAAGCATGGGCCAAGTTTAATTTCTCCCACTGATTACTGTACATTGATTTTGACATTGAAAATCGTTAGTGGTACGATCAGTTATACTAAAATTAACAAAATAGCATATGATTTATTACAAAAACCTTAAACATTAAACTGATTTGTACTTGAGTGTCATTTGAATCAATGGCATTCAACAATCAGAGACAACTTTTTGTATCCAGTATTGAAGAAAAATTGTTCCAGTAAGAACAAGTTGTTGGTTTAAGCCTCAGTCACTAGGCACAATTCAACATGCTAAATGGTTTTCAACACAAGAAAGGAGCAGGCAACACAACCTCTGCTAAATTTCTGGTCACTCATCAGACAAACGTTTTTAAAACAATTTCTAATTTCTTCCTCATTCTTGGATGCCCATTTCCACATCTTCACTGTACTTTGTGTTGCACTGGGAAAATCATTTCTTCTGCTGAAAAGTGAACTAAAACCATCCCACAAAAAAAAAGTGAAAAAGTCATTGCATAGAACACTACAATGTCTGACACTGGGGGAGTCAAGAGAGCTCTCCTATGAAGAAAGGTTGAGAGAGATGAGGATGTTCAGCCTGAAGAAGGCTGCAGGGTGACCTCATTGAAGCTTTTCAATACTTAAAGAAAGCTTAAACAAAAAAGATGGAAAACAAATTTTTGCTCGGGCAGATAATGACAGGACAAGGGGTAACGGCTTTAAGCTAAAAGAGGGGAGACAGATTAGAGGAAATTCTTCACTCACAGGGCAATGGGTTGCCCTGGAGGTGCTCAAGGCCAGGCTGGATGAGGCCCTGGGTGACCTGGTCTAGTGGGTAGCATCCCTGCCCATGGCAGGAGAGTGGGAACTAGACAGTCTTTCATGTCCTTTCCAACCCAAGCTGTTCTACGATATGAAGTTTGAGTCTACACAACTGATTCTTCCAACATGAGGTTTTGGCATGAGGTACCTAGCTAGCACCATCTCACAAAATAACAGCCAGGGCTTGTAGGGAGCACGAAATACTGTTTAAAGACAAGACTAGATAATGATTTGTTCTTATTGTACTATTAAGTTTTTACATGGGAATTGAAATATAAAACATTTTTATTTCTGTCATTTCCCTGTTACAGCAGAAAAACTCATTTTAACACTATGACATTTGCTATAATTCAGAAATTCCTGAATTATAACTGCAACAGCTGTTACAAATGGAATTATGATCTTGAATTCAAACAAATTATAAAGTTTTCCATACTTTTCATGCCCACATCCTTGTTAACATCATCTTCCACCAAAAGTGGTATTCCATACTTAGAAAGCAAACATTACGTTAGAGAGACTGCTCATTAATGTCTCAATTTTTAGCCTCCTGGAAGGAAAATTTTCTGGGATGGCAAAAATAAATTTAGATGCCTGTAGTATAATTAAAGCCAGTATTTTTAGTAAACAACATTAGTCTAATCATAAAAGTATTTGGTTAACTGAGAATCAACTGGATAAAAATTGCATTGAATGGACTTAGCACCCAAAATTTGACCATAGTTTGTTCTCAGCAACTTTTGGTGTTTGGGACAGCTCTAACAATTCCTCTTCAAACCCTCCAGGAGATGGACAACAGACAAAACCCAGCTGGTCAGGCTGCTGAACCATAATGCTCAAAGGAAGATAATCCAAGCTCAGAATCATTTTAAGAGTCTTTAGCTGCTTAGTATCTGCAACAACATCCCCCAAATTATCCTAGAAGCAGGGACTTCATAGACAGGACTGGAACCACTGCAACCAAGGCAACAGACAACCAAAGCTAAAAACAGGGTAAAAATAAAATGGTCTGTTAATTATACTTTTTCTATTTAGTAGGTTTGGAACCGGTTACAGAAAATTATTCCTAGAAAAAAACATTACTAGTATTTCTCGTATAGCTATAAACCAATGAAAGGTACACCATCATGGAAGTTCCAACCGTTGCTTTTTTGTAACAGTTTTCATATTTTTGAATTAATTCTGTACCTTCAATTCTTTCCTTCAAATTCCTTCTGATATCACAGCTAACCTTTTTCTGATATCACAGCTAACCTTTTTCATATTAGAAAGTCCAGTTAAGGTATCTAATATTAAAATCAAGCATATGAAAACTCTGAAATAATTACATATAGAGATTATAGACTTGCTTCAATGGGCATTTGATAAACAATGGCGGGATTATTCATTAAGTCCCAATTCTATGAAGTATTAGGAGCTGAAGGTTCCTTTTCCAACTTGCTGATTCTACGGCATTCTGCTACAATTTTCTGAAGCTGTAGACCATGCAGCACAAAAGCAAGGGTAAAAGTTTATACACAGAGGGTGGCTTCTGAGCAGAAAGGAACTTGAATATTAGCAAAGTGTTGCATAAGACTATATGCTTTTCCAAAAAGCTACAAAAAAACATGAAAGCAGTATAAACCATTTGTACAACCTAGAATAAACATAATTGGAAAGTATACTTGATGATTCCTTGCTTTTATAGGACTGAGGTATTTGATAAAGCTATCAAGTGGCTTTTAATGTAGTTTCCTTACCTACTCTGCTTAACCTATATTTTTCAGAATGAAAGAAAGCTTAAGAGTTTTTATATTATCAGCATATAAAAATTGTCATAACATGTATTCTACAAACAAAACTTGCCACAGAAGTCACCCTTATACAAAGTCACACTCCAAAAATATCTGCAAGCGGAGAGTTGTGTGCTTGCTGCAAAAGGCTGCAGTGGCTTACAGTTCAGTACATCATCCTCCTAAATCTCTTTTCATCTCAGAGACATGGATCCACTTACGGAAGGCTACAGTAGAGCCTCATATCAAAGCTCTCTGTGGTGTTCTGAACCCTCATCCTAAAATGAGCATCTCCTATTTCTAATTAGTTACCCACATCACAGCTGACCTTTGAAAAAACAAGATAACGTGTTTTAGCTGATAAAGATCTTGTACAGCTCAGGTTTTTCAATAGAAAGATCTTAAGCCATTAATCTCTGTATTTGGGCTACACAAGGGAGAAAACTGTCAAGCCAAGTGTAAAGGAATGTGTCACTGGAAAAGGTAAGTGCATTTGTTGCAATCAAGGCTCCATAAGTTCATCACCTACAAAAACCTGCAAACGTGCATTCCTCTTTTCCTTCACACATTAGTCCTAATAGTACTTTATTCAGCGGATGCAGCACAAAAGTTATCACACATAGTAATATACAGAATGAAATTGTCCTCAACACTGTAGCCAGTAGTATTTGCCCGCTTGGCCCATGATAGCCCAGCACTTACCTTACTCCTACCGAGTGAGGTATCTCATTTATTGCATAGTAAGAACACACTTCCTCATAGTCTCTCCACAGCTGGTATTAAGTTAGCAACACATATAAAAAGACATACCATAATAATTTACAAGATTACTCTAACAAACTGTAAGGCAAATACAGTAATTCTGCTTAGCATCTTAGTTCCAACCCACCCTCCCCATCCTTTATTTTACCTGTATTCAAGCTTTCCACTCTTAGAGGGAGACCAGACTGGGCCACAGCAACAAGTTTCAAAGCAATATAAAACTGACTTCTTCCAAAATAGCCAAGTCTTGTTGCACCGCAGAGCTCCATAATCTGCAACAAAACACACAGTTACTTCTATAAGGCAACTTAAAATACAAGCTGCTCTACAGAAGCAATTTCATACATTTCAAAGCAGCCTCCCTTGCATTAAATGCTCATAACTTTTTATATACAATCTTTCAGTAACAACTTCACATGGAATCCCTAAATAGTAGGTGGCAAGACTTAAAGAGAATCATATTCTTCACAACCAGAAGTTGCAAGCCTAAATCTTATGTTTTTCCCAGTTATCTAACTTTTTTTTTCACCTAGGCTCTCACAGATGATATGAGAATAAAAGACACTACTGGGGTCTTTTTAAAAAAAAAAAAAAAAAAAAAAAAGAGACTAGAAAGCTCATAAACATCCTACTTCACTACTAGCTATTCTATCAGCAGCTATACTGTCTTTGGTTCTTAACTACTACAGAAAAGAAAAATCTGCTTTTAGGGGTATTAGTATTATACTGATTGCCAGATGTAATCCAGAAACATGACATGAGGGTTTTCAAGTTCAATTCTCAAAATTGAACAGGATGTTACTAATAAAATTAGAGAAATGGTCCTGCCCCTTATTTCTCCCTGATTTCTGCCTGAAGAATTTCCATGGAGATGGTAGGATTTATAAAAAGTAAAAATTTGAAGACAGTTGTAAATGGTGTCTTCCATCCTATTCTGATAGAGATTTGCTACAGCTCAACTTCCAAGTTGTAAAAATAAACCTGTAAAGCATTCAGAGCACAAGAAAAGCATGCACGCATATATATATATATATACACACATATATATATAAAATCACTTCAGGACTGAAGAAGGCAGATCTTTACATTCTCCAAATGATGACAGAGATGCTGTTTCATTTAAGAAATACAGCACAGAAGTGATGTTATCTTATTCCCCTTTCTTCCCTGATGTGCTATATCAAAGTGATTTTGTATCTTTTTGTTATGAATTTAGAGAAATTTTGGTCCCTTCAAGCTGTCACATTCAAACACACTGCTTGCTTCCACCCTCCCCCCCACACACACACTTTGGGAGTCTGCAAACCTGGTAGGGATACATTCCTGCTTTGGTAAGGTCTTTGCTAAGGCAAGACATTAAATATGACATGCCCCAAGTCAGACTGAATTAAACAATCCACTTTTTCTTTTAACCCACCCAGCAGTCTCATTTAGACTGTAATATTCCAAATGAGACACAGCAATGCTTTTAGACACCATGGTGAAAGCCTTGCTGAAGTCAAGGTAGACAACATTGCTGCTCTACTCCCCTTACACAGCTCGTCTTTCCATCATAGCAATCTGGGTGACAAATTTCTTTACAAATTCACGCTTGCTAACCCTAGTCACTACTTTTGCTAAGAAATGGCTTCCAGGAGCACGTGCGCCATGATTTTCTCGCAGACTGAAGAGTGCCTGACCAACATGCAGTTCCTTGCTGAAGGCAGCTAGCTACATGTCTTTCCCCAGTCACCAAGATCCCTGGTCTTCATGATCCAAGAATAAGAAAGAATGCTTACAATGACATTAGCTAGCTCTCAGAACACACTCAGAAGCACCCATCTGATCCCATGAACTTGATATTTCTCAAGAAGCCTAATCTTTTCACAATACTACTAGTACATCTCCTTCAAACCCCTCTCCAGGCTCAAAGGCCTGTGAAACCTTGTCTATGAAGATACATGCAGAGAATGTACCCAAATTTCAGCCTCATCTACATCCACTAGTCACAAATTCCCCTCCTCATCCTTCACATCAGAGCTGAGTCATAAGCTTCCAGTTTAGCAAATCTAGACTTGAGATATCTTCTTAGTCTCCTAACTACTAGGATAAACATTTATTGGACTAAGAGAAGGCTGTCCTGACAGGTTTCTCAGTTCTCATGAGAAGCAGTCCTGAAGGACAGAGAAGTTCACATAGAAGTTCACAGTTACTGGTTGCAGGCAAGTTACAACTGAGAAACAGTCAGCTTTGATTTCACATAGCGACTGAACCACAAGGCCCAAAGGAGTTAGTCTGTATGCTGTAGAATTGCTAAAACAGGAGAGAGACATTGGTAACTACTATCAAACACATGGCGTTATTAACTAAAGCTGAGCTAGATATAGCCCAACAAAAGCTCCTTAGGTATTTCCTTACCATGTACCGGGATTCTAGGACCTCATGAAAATAAGCTGTTGTGAAACCTGTCACAGGAAGGAGTGGGAAGCTGACAAAGACTTAGTCCCAAAGCACTCCCAGGAGGATCAACAGGTCTACAGCTGTGCATAGTGCTCATAAATCCTGCTGTACAGAAGCTAGCTGCAATAATTCACTTGCATACGTCTGCATTACACTTCCTATGTTGTCCTACAGCACCTGTGTTATTTGGATTTTCCCAATATACTATTTATGCAGCATAGTATCTGGACAGATGTCAATGGATTTCTTTAATGTTCATTAACTAAAGAGTTCAATAATTCTGAATACAGTACATTAGTATCAATACACTAGTTGGACTGCAGGGACTGCCATAAGGAAACAAGTGACAGTAAACTGTCAGGTGAAAACTCAAAAACTTTGAGGCATCAACATCTGAAATAAATTGTCCATACCCAGCCTAAGGATAAAATAATAACACTAAGTTTAAATAATTTGCAGAATTAAAGCAGTGGAGACTCAACAAGACTCAGGTAGAACAAACAAAATTAGTACAAGAGCTATTTTGCTTTTAAAATAACCATCATATCCTGGGAAACTGCTGAGTATCCACGTACTTGACAATAATTAAAGAAAAAAGCTTGTGGATCCAGTGATCTAGCATGAACAGATAAATAAGTAAGCAGACTGGAAAAGCTTTTTATGAAAGGAAGCAGTGACATAGTTATTTGAAGCCCTATGCAATCATCAGGCAGCAATGGCTTTTGGCAATTTCAAAATCAGTGCCAGACTAGAAGTTGTCTTTTTTGGAGCTAGTCAATACTGCCAGGTTGAAAAAAACTTTAGTTGAAGACTAGATTAATAATTAAGCTACAATGGCAGGCAAGTACGAGAGGGGAAATAAAGCATGGATTCAGAAAGTGGAGAAAAGTAAAAAAAAAAAAAAAAAAAACATTTAAGTATCATGAGAATGAAAAAGCAAAGGATATAGAAAAAAATTCCTGTACACTGCTGAACAAGGAGCTGTCAAATCCACCCAGGCGGATAAAGGAGTCCTCCAGTTCAAACAGACTCTAACCCAGACACGTGATTGACGGTTGAGCAAAATCACTAAACACAAAGACCTAGTGGAGCCCCTCAGCTGACTGACAGCATGCTTGAACATACCCAAAACAGCCTACCTATAATCTCCTTGAAGGAGGATTTAAACACTCAACAGGCAAGGCAGTAAGCTAAACTGACAGGACCAAAAAAATAAAAATAAAATCAAGGGATTGCTTCTGTGAGATTTGTTTTATGTTTAGGACTTTCATCTTCTTAGGACTATTGAGGATAAGGAATAAATTCCTTAAACTCTTTGAGGAATGCAGAGCCATCTTCAAGACAAAATGCTCTATTGCTGTTTTCACCTCCTCAGATATGAGGATCCTGACATTACAGCACTGCAATTAACGAGGTTCATGCCAACAGCTCTGTTGGCGTGAAACTGTTGATACAAAAATCAGTACAGCAGCTGTCAATTAGGAAGTTGCACACAGTGCATTTGCATATTGCAAAGAGGTAACAGTAGCATTAACAATATTAGGAGCTGGCACAGATCAGACATTCACAGGAAGCAGTATGTTGACAAAGGACACCTCTTTGAGCACATACTTTCTAGAACTCTTACTGGTTTCAAATAAGGGGTCCTTGGACTTGGAAATCAGAATCAGAATCACAGAACTGTAGGAGAATGTTTGTGAACTGAAAGAAATGAAAGGTTAAGAACTGTTTTAGAAATCCAGGTGACGTGGATTTCTAAATAACATCTATCAGATGTGTCAAAATGTACTTCTCAGACCTCAGAAAACCTCTCTGGGAAAGTTTTCCGGATTATCACAGTCCCCTGCCCCCAGGCTCTTTTACAAGGCAAATCAAGCCCACAATCTGTAAACATTATTTATACAAAAGTACAACAGTTTTTAACTTCTTCAATGGTAAGGCAATAAAGGAAATAAGATGCATGCCACCTACATAGTAAAGATAAAAATCTTTCATCTGCTTGGAGAGAGTTACTAAAGAACTAACCAATCCATAAAAAAGGGCTGAAAGAGGCAAGACTGAGGCACTTTTCAAGGCTGGCAGTGACAACACACATGGTGGATGGCAAGAGGAGGGAGTGAACAAAATCACCAGTGGACCTTCTGTAACATGTCAACCTAACTAGGATGGTAACACAAGTCTGATACCCAGTAAAAGCATATAGACACAAAGTTATTTTTATTTTATAGATAGGTATATACAAATCACATACAGATATTAAGAAAGAAGCAGAACTGGGATTCAGAATAAACATTTTGATCCCAATTTTATAAACAGATTCTTAATCTGAGGTATTCTAGTAGTCCTGCTGTGACTGCATTTTCTTATTGGTATAATCCTGTGTTTGTTTTATAATTCATAAACACAAAGAAAGAATGTACATTATGACAGAACAGTTGAAGGTGGAAAGGATCTCTGCAGATAATCCAGTCCAACCACCCTGGCTCAAAGCAGACTCAGCTACCGCGGGTTGCTTGGGACCACGTCCAGTTGTGTTTCAAGTATATCCAAGGAGGGAGACCCTACAGCCTCTCTGAGCAACCTCTGCTACTGTTCCCTCAACCTTAGAGGAAGAAAGTCTTCTCTTAGGTTTAAATGAAACAATTACCAGGAATTACTTCCTATAAGCTAGGCACCAGGAGTGCAAAACAAGTTTCCTTTTAAGTTTGTATCAGATATTGTAAAAATTAAAGTTAAACCAGACCATGAGCACACTAGTGCATCATTACTCAGTACGTGATATTCCAGTTTTGCTACACATATTGACCATAAATTTTTAATTGAAAAACAAGCA